CCTCAAATATATTTTTTGCCTTAAAATTAGTGTTTTTTAATGATAATTTGTGGTATTTGCATGTGTAGACTTTTTTAAAAAAATTGAATCACGGTGAGATACAGTTACAAAACTTTGATGTTTGAGCTTCAGCCATACAATGATCAGACACCCATCCCTCCACCAGTGCACATTTTCCACCACAATGTCCCCAGTATCCACCCCGCCCCCCCTCCCCCCAGCATCCCAGCCCTCCCCCTCCTCTGTGGCAGACAATTTCCCCCATATACTCTCTACTTTTGGGCATTATAGTTTGCTCAAAATTTCCCCCCACCATTCAAACCTGCTTGCTAGGGGCAGATGCTAGATAATTTATTTTTTATTGCTCAATTTGGATATCATGAGAGGTCGCTTCTGCAATTCTAAAATTGTAAATGGTTGTGGTCCAGAGATCTCTCTGTAGGGCACTAATCCATTTTGGGATTCATTTGGGACCAGGGATTCATCTGTGGACCAGGGCTGTTGGTGCTCTGAGATGGCGCCTGGAGGCAGATTGTTGGCATGACAATCAGGATCCCAAGCTGGCAGGGAGACAGGAAGGGATGGCCTGTCTCCCCTGCAGCCACATCGTAGACTTTCAGGACTGGACTTTTAGCCTGGATTCTTAGTCCTGAAACCTGCGTACCTGGGCCTTGCTTCTGGAAGCTCTTGGCCATTGGGGTTTCTTTCATCTGGAGCAGGCAGAGAGGGCACACCTGCTCCATCCGAGGTGCCCAGTGGAATTGGGCACTTCTGTACAGGGTGTGGAGAGATCTCTGTGTGTAAGATTTTGTAGATGTACCGGTGGCTGTTAAACATTTTCTTTGTTTTAAACTCAAGAATCACTTGAAAATGCAACTTTTGCTGTATCTTTAAAAAAGTTATTGGAGTGGTGGAGCGGTAGCGTGGCCAATGGAGAGTATAATCAATTTGGTTTATTCATCTGGTTCAGTTTTTTGGGGGGTGAGAAAGGCACTCTCAGCTGTTATACTCCTGGATTTGAACTGAGGGATCACTCCTGGTGGAGCTTGAGGGACCATAGGGATGCTGGGATTGAACCTGGGTTGGCTGCCTACAAGGCAAGTGCCTTATCCTTTTTACTATTGTTCTGCCTTGCTCCTGTTTCAGTTTTCTAATGACAAGTAACATAGATCATTTTTGTATTTTAAATAATCAGGGAGTCAGTAGGGTGCAGAGGGTAGGTATGTAGCTTAGTGGTAGAACAAAGTAATCCAGGAGGCTTCATGTGATGTTTTAATGATTTTTGTTCTTAAAGAGGTTAAAAAATGCATTAGCAATTCTTCCATGTGGTAAGCACTTTTTTTTTTTTTTTGTGAATGAGGTGAATTAAGCACGGATTTTCAACATTTGGTTCAACAAATGGAAATAACGTCGTGGAGTTACTTGCTGCTCCAGACCCTGAGATATGTAGGAGTTCCTGCTGGATTATTTTTAGAATCTCTTGCCCTTGTGTGTTTCTATTCTAAGAATTCACTTGGAATCTGTTTCAGGGTGGTAGAACTCCGCAGGGCAGAGTGATAGAGGGATGGATCTCGCTTGCACACCGCAGTCCTATGGCTTGGTACGTGGGTGTGTGTTTGCGGAAGTGTGCCTGGGACTGCACTTTGCTGTTTCCAGAAAAGAGGATGTAGAAGGTCACCATGTGACAGGATGTTAGTTGAGAGGTGTGGGCTCTCCCCTCCCCCCCTTTTTAATGTTGTTTTGATGACTGGGTGATTGCACGGAAAGAGGCTCGGTCGTACTTCTCGCATGCTGGCTTGGGGGCGGCGGCGGGTGGGGGGGCACCCTCGCTGAAGTGTACTGTTTACACAGTGTTTAGTTGTGTTGCTCAGTTCATAGCCTTTGGGCGTGGCGCTCACGTCCTGACTGTGGTGGGGCTGGACATTGTGCCTGTGGCCCTGTGGAGCAGTCGCTGAGCTGCCCAGCCCTCATTCTGCCCACCTGCCGCACCTACTCTTCAAGGCGAGCACTTTAGCCACTGAGCCCACTCCTGGTCCCCTGCAGGTGCTGGTGGTTTAGTTTCTTTGTTTCTTGTTTTTCGATGGGGGGTGGGGTTGGGCCATATCCACTAATGCTCAGGGCTTACTCCTTACTCTGTGCTCCGGGACCACTCCTGGTGGGATCACGGGACCATATGGGGTAATGGGAACCGAACTGGGGTCAGCTGTGTGCTTTACCTCCTCTTCCTGTGGCTCTGGTCCCCTAAGACATACTCTACAAGAAGGAATTCACCTATTTTGACGTTTCGGTGTTAGAGTGAAGAGCCACGTTGACAGAAAGGCATGTAGTATGAATGCAAACAAGCATCCCTAGGACTGAATATGTTAGGGGGCTCTGATGATGCCACTTTCAAGTTTTTAATCCACAGGACTGGAGCCATGGTGCAGTGGGTAGGGCCCTTGCTTTGCATGCAGCTGGCCTGGGTTCCATCCCCAGCATCCCACATGAGTTGTTCCCCACCCCAGGGGTGGCTCTCATGTAAGACAAGCATCTTATAAAAGTGTTTGAGGGGGGGCCAGAGCAGTAATGCAGCAAGTAAGACCCTTGCCTTGCACGCACCCTACCTAGGTTAGATCCTCAGCATCCCTTCTGGTCTCCTGAGCCTGCCAGGAATAAGCCCTGAGCATCGCCAGATATGGACCAAAAACAAAAGAATTAAAACTGGAAGTGTTTGAGTTTACATTGATCCAGTGAATTTACAAAATTTTGTGTTTTCTGATTGGCAAGTGAGGACTTCTGTTATGTGACATCAAAATGTTTGAGTGGAATAACAAGGTTGTAAAGGCTTAAAATAATTCTTGTGAATTCAAACCTCAGTAGTAGCTTCCAGTCAGCTTAGCTGACTTGTATTTTAGTACATGCATATTTTTATCACCAGATGGCACTCCTGTAGGAAACAAGCTCTCGTTTTGTTGTATTGTACCAGATTATTTCCATAAATAGGGATACTGAGGGCTGGAGTGATAGTACAGGGGGTAGGGTACATACCTTGCCCTGATTTCAGTCTCCATCGTCTCTTTTATAAGTAGTCCCTAGCACCACCAAGAGAGGTCACTGACTTCAGAGCCAGGAATAAGCCCTGAGCACCTCTGGGTGTGGCCCCAAAACAGAAACAAAAATATTGAGGAGTAAAGAGCTCAAAAGATACAGGGGTTGGGGCTGGAGCGATAGCACAGTGGGTAGGGTGTTTGCCTTGCATGCAACCGACCCATGTTCGATTCCCAGCATCCCATATGGTCCCCTGAGCACCGCCAGGAGTAACTCCTGGGTGCAGAGCCAGGAGTAACCCCTGAGCATTGCCGGGTGTGACCCAAAACGAAAAAAAGAGAAAGGTACAGGGGTTAAAGCACTTGCCCTTTACAGTTTCCAGCACTGCTGCATATGACTCTTGAGCTCAGGAGGGTGAAGCAGAAAATGAAAAACAGTTCCCTCCCTGCAAAAAAAAACCCACAAACATCCCAAAGCCAACCAATCAGCAAACCCAGATATGTTTCTAACCTGTAAGTAGTCTACAAATGACTTTTTTTTTTTGTGGGGGCGGAAGCTAGGAATCGAACCCGGGTTGGCCATGTGCAAGGCAAACGCCCTATCTGCTGTGCTATCGCTCCAGTCCCTACAAATGACTTTCTGGGGAGAGGAAACCCACATTTGGTGGTGCTTGGGTGATTGGGACTGTGTTGCAGGGGTTCAGACCTAGGGCCCCTGCTGCTCTCAGCCCTGTGGACCGACTCTCTGCCAGGGCTCCCAGCACGGACTCCGCCGTGGATTTCTGGCTTGCAGTTGTTTGTCTCTTCTCCCACATCTGTTTCCCGGGCTCCTCTTGTGTTGCAGCGCTTAGTTCCCAGTCCCTGGCGATCACTGTTCTGTATCCTGTACCCCTATAGTTCTGTTTTTCAGAATTAGAAACGTGACACATTCTGGTGTGCCATTCCTGGCGATGCTCAAGTTACTCCTGGCTCTGCACTCAGGAATCACTCCTGGCGGTGCTCGGGATTCGACCGGGTCAGCTGCTGTGGAAGGCAAATGCCTTAACTGCTGTATATCTCTCCAGCACCCATTTCTAAAAAAAAAAACAAAAAAACAAAAAACTGCTTTTGGTTCAGTGTTCAGGGTTTACTCCTGGCTTTGTGCTTAGGATTTGCTCCTGGTGGGGCTCCAGGACCATAGGGAGTATGGGGGATCAATTCCAGCTTTGCCATGTGCAAGACAATGGCTTTATCCACTGTCATCACCAGCCTTTTTAATCATGTTTTGATGGTGTTTAATAAATAATTGGTTTTATGCTTGGCCCTTAGTAGTTTTTAAATAAATTGTTTGAGTAAAGGAAAATAATATATACAAAGTTGATTTGTTTCCTTCGGTTTATTATTCATAGGTAGATTTAGCCTGGAGGTATAGTTTGCAACTGAACATCACATTTTAATACTATATTTTGAGTAGAATTATTTATTGCTAGGTAAGATCTTGACCAGGCAATGTTCACTTAACGTTTAAATAGCAACAAACGAATGGGCAGCGGTAATTAGAACTGCTACCTCCATTAGGAAGTGGTAGCTACATGTTGAGTTAAAATGATTGCGGGGGATTGGAGTGATAGTAAAGTGGGTAGGACACTCCTTGCACATTGCTGTCCTGGGTTCATCCTCAGGATGAACATACAGTCCCCAAAGCACTGCCAGGAGTAAGCCCTGAGCACAGCTAGGAGTGGCCCCTAAACTACCCTCCACCAAATAAAATGATGGCTGGCTATAAATTAATGATAGTTGTGATTTTTTTATATAGAATTGCTAAAAGTATGAGTGTAAATAGATATTCTAAGTAGACATTTAAATTTTAGTATCAAACTGAGAACCCTCATTCTAGAGAATTTGTATTCTAGATCTGTAGAGCTTTTGTGTTACCACTGAATTTTATACTTGCCTTTTACTGTAACTTCCACATTTTTTCCCTGTTTCTTGCAGATTTTCTATTTTGCACACGCGTTCTTTTGTATATACTGTATATGATGACTTCGCTGAGCAGCGACCGTTCCCGAGGTGCTCGAGAAAAAACTCAGATCTCAGCTACACAGTCAGCACAGCTACAGAAGCAAGTAATACAGGTGTGTTTGGTGGGACTCTTGCCTGCTTGTTTGGAATTTAGGAAATTAGGGTGCACAGGTGTTTTAGTGATCTCCTTTGTAGGAAACCTCAGGACTCCCCACCCCCCCCAAAAAAAAGTAGATCCTATATAATAGAAATGAGGAAATACCATTGATTCAGGTATAGTTGGATGTACTGTGATTGATGTTCTTTAACTATTTATTTGGGTTTTTTTTATTTTTTGGCTTTTTTGAGTCACACCCGGCGATGCTCAGGGGTTCCTTCTGGCTCTGCACTGAGGAATCACTCCTGACGGTGCTCGGGGTACCATATGCTAGGAATTGAACCTGGTCGACCGCGTGCGAGGCAAACGCCCTCCCCGCTGTGCTATTGCTCCAGTCCCTTTTTTATTTAATACTTGAACTTCCCCTGCTGCTTCTTAGCATCTTGATCAGAGGTTCCCAACCTTATTTGGCCTGCTGGCTTCTTTCTATTGATTGGTTTGTGTGTGTGTGGTTGATTGTTTGGTTTTTGCACCACACCTGGCTGTGCTCAGGGCTTACTTCTGTCTCAGTGCTCAGGGAAGCACATGGGATGCCGGGGATTGAACCTGGGTTGCCTGAGTGCAAGGCAAGCACCCTACCTTTGTACTATTGCTTTACTACCTAGCACTCCCTCTGCCTCCTTTTTAGACAGAAAGTCAGTGTTCCCTGGAGAACTATCTTTTTCTTTGGGGGGCAGGGGTGTTTTACTCTGGTGCTCAGGGTTTACTCCTGGCTCTGCAGGTGGGGCTCAGGGGACCATCCTGGGTGCTGGGGGATCGAACCTAGGTCAGTAGTGTGCAAGGCAAGTTCCCTGCCTGCTGTAGTATTGCTCTGGCCCTAAATATTCATTCTTTTTTTTTTTTTTTTTTGCTTTTGGGTCACACCTGGCATTGCACAGGGGTTACTCCTGGCTTGTGCACTCAGGAATTACTCCTGGCGATGCTCGGGGGACCATGTGGAATGCTGGGAATCGAACCCGGGTTGGCCACGTGCAAGGCAAACGCCCTACCCGCTGTACTATCGCTCCAGCCCCTAAATATTCATTCTTAAAATCCTTCCTAAATATCTTAGCAGCCCTGCTGATGTTAAACATGATTTCTTTTGTAGATACTAATAGGAAATAATAATAATAAAAAATAATATTATAATGGGGCTGGAGCAATAGCACAGCAGGTAAGGCATTTGCCTTGCAAGTGGCCAACATGGCCGACCTGAGTTCGATTCCTCCGCCCCTCTCGGAGAGCCCAGCAAGCTACCGAGAGTATCTCGCTCGCACAGCAAAGCCTGGCAAGCTCCCCATGACGTATTCGATATGCCAAACACAGTAACAGGTGTCACAATGGAGATGTTACTGGGCCCGCTCAAGCAAATCAATGAACAACAGGAGGACAGTGACAGTGAATAATATAATATTTCCCTCTTCTACAAAGGGGAAACTAGACAAAATTTCCCTGTGAAATTTGAGAATGTTACACCTGTGGTGCTTCTTTGTCTTTCAGTACTTTATTTCACTTTGGTTTTTGAGCCACAACCAGTGACTGCTTACTTGCAGCTCTGTGCGCGGGGCCCCCGTGGGCTGAACTTTGAATGCAGGCTCCTGAATGCCACACCTACACTCTCATCCTTTGCCCCATTCCCCTCGCCTACCCTCAGTACTTTGGTGGATGTTTCTTTTTTTTGTCTTTTTAAGTAAAATAGTTTTATTTTAGAAGAGGAGATAGAGGCGCACACGGGGAGAAGGGTTCGAGCACCCCCATGGTCTTTTCCAGGGAGAGAGCCAATGGTACCTGATAAAGTAACAGAAAAGAATTGTACAGATTGAGGTATGGGTAACTCCAGAAGAGGATGCATTTGGTTCTATTTCTTTTCTTTTTTAATAAAACTTTTTTTTTCTTTTATTTTTTATTTATTGAATCACTGTGGGAAAAGTTACAAAGCTTTCAGTTTTAAGTCTCGGTCATGCAATCGTCAAACACATTTCCCTTCACCAGTACTTATTTTTCACCACCAAGAACCCCAATAAACCCCCCTTCCCAACCCTCCCAATGTCTGTGAGGCAGATGAATTCTATTTAACACTCTATCTACTTTGATTAGATTCATTGTTTTGACAAAAGATGCACCATTATTATTTAGAGTTTATACCCCCAAATCAGACCTGCTGAAAAGGCATTGTGAAATAATTTGTTTTCTACAGCTGGTTACAAGAACCAAATGAGGTCGTGCGGATTTTGGATTTCTGGTATTTTACTTATTAAGCCCGGAAATATTTCTGCCGAGAGTCAGATAATTACGAGATTGGTTTCTGTGGCTCTGGAGCCATGGCCATGCCAGAGAGCCGCTCGTGGGGGGCAACTTGTGACCTCGGTAGGGCATGAAGGACGAGCTGGGGACACCTCCCTTCCCATGAGGTTTCACTCGCCCTGTCACGACCGGCTCATACCTGGCTTTCCAAAAAGCTCCGAGGCAGCCACAATCTTGCTTTCCAGAGGGAAAAAGGCGGATTTAATAAAACATTTTATTTGGAGGTTTTTGAAGGGGAGTAGGGAAAGAGAGTAAGAGAGAGTAGAGAGTAATGTGCTCAAGAGAGAATCTGCGCTTCTCCAGGGGTGGAAAGAGCCCCTATACACACCCCAACATTAGACATGAAAGCATGAAAGTACACATCTCAGGAGGGGAGATGCGGGCACCACGTGTTTGGGTACCACATGTACTTGGCCACGTGGGCACAAGTAGCACATGGGCTCAGGCAGCATATGCATGTGCATTTTAATTTTTAATTTATTTTTGTTGCAGGGAATGAAGCAGGGGGCCTGATACACGCAGAGCACGTATCTACTATTATATCTCTGAACTCTGTTTTAATTTTTTAAAAATTTTTAAAATTTTTAATTTTTTTTTTATTTTTGGGTCACACCTGGCGATGCACAGGGGTTACTCCTGGCTCATGCACTCAGGAATTACTCCTGGCGGTGCTCAGGGGACCATATGGGATGCTGGGAATCAAACCCGGGTTGGCCTTGTGCAAGCAGATGTCCTACCCACTGTGCTATTGCTCCAGTCCCTCTTTGTTTTAATTTTATTGTTTTTTTTTGAGGGGGCGGGTATATCCGGTGGTGTTAAGGACTTATTTCTGGCTCTGCACTCAGGGATCACTCGTAGCATGGGATGATGGGGATCGAACCCTGGTTGGCTGCACGTAAGGCCAACACCCTACCTGCTGACCTAATGCTCCGGAGTTCTTTTAGCTGGTGCCCTTCGGCCCTCTTTCATCTGGGTGCATGCGTCCTTCACCTCTGGGAATTTGTGTGTGATGTTGTCTTGGACTCTGGCTTCTTCATCACAGTTGCCTTCCTTGCCCTCTGGCATCCTGATGATTCTGTGTTGTTCCTCTTTAATTCATTCCGGATTTCTCTTGTCTGCTGTTCAGTTATTTTGCGTTCCCCCCTCCCTTCTGTTGTTGTGTGGAGGTTTTCCATACCTCATCCTGGAGCTCCCTTTTGTCCTTTAGCTGCTGAGGCCTTCCAGTGAGCTTTCCATTTCACCTTCCCAATTCTCGAGTTCTGTCATTTCTGCTTGTAGTTTTCTCATTTCTGCACTCAGATTCTTTTGGGTTTTATTGATTGTCTGTCCCGTTGTTTCTTTGAGCTCCCAAGCACCTTCATTATTTCTTCTGAAGTTCAGTTCAGAGACGTCATGTATGTAGCTGGTTATTCCTGGCTGAGCCTTCAGGGCTACCATCTTGGTTCATTAAGCGTGCAGGGGTTCTGTGTTGCTTTACTGTTGTGACGTTTGCACCCTGGAGGTGGTTTGCTTTTTGGTTTTTTGCATATTTTGTGGATAGGTGACTAGAATTCTTCTGTCAATGTATCTGTAAAATAGGATGACGTGTAGAAATGTGGGCCTGCCTTAACTCTTTGGGGGATCCTGATCTGGGGGTGAAATTTTGCCCTTCTGAGTGCAGCTTCCTAACTTTGAATTTCTGGACTGGGCCATACTCGTATTTTTTTATTTGTCCCAATAATGCCTTTCTTTTATACCTTCAGAAATAATTGTGGGGTCAGTGCCCAGCAGTGCTCCCCGTGGTCTTGGGGGCCAGTGGGCACTGGGGAGATGGCCTGGGAGGGATTGCCCTCCCCGTGCCTGCTTGGTCAGAAGCTACTTGATCACGCTCTGGGTAGAAGCTACTTGATCACGCTCTGGATTCAGATACTAGTTTTCTTTAGTCTCGTTCATGTGCAGTTTCCTTTCTTTTGTGACATTGGCCAGTGTTTTCATTGACGAGTTCCCAATTTTGGCTTGCTTGCTTTTTTTTTTTTGTTTGTTTGAGTCACACCTGGGGATGCACAGGGATTACTCCTGGTTCGTGCACTCAGGAATCACTCCTGCCAGGTGCTCAGGGGACCATATGGGATGCTGGGAATCGAACACGGGTCGGCAGTGTGCAAGGCAAATGCCCTACCCGCTGTGCTATCGCTCCAGCCCCTTGGCTTGCTTGATTTTTGCACTTGAAGCAGAAATGCCACAGGAGTGATAGTCTGTCCTTGATTTATAGGTCTGACCTGCAGGTGATCAGAGTTTAAGACGTGGAGCGTCTCTCTGTCTCCCCCATCCCTGGCCTTGTTCCCGCTGCTGCTGCTGCTGCTGTTGCTGTTGCGGTGCCCGGGGCTGGTGGCATTGCTCGCACTCTGGTGCTTTCCAAGGGTTGCACCTGGTTCTTGTTGTGCTTGCCCGAAGACTCTCTGGGACTGTACTCATTTTTGCTGGGGTGCTCATGCTTGGGGCGTGGCTGTGGGCTTTAAGTTCGCGTTTGCTGGGGAGAGGCTCCCAGACTGGAGATCAAGATGCACTCACACACCTGGCTGTTCCAGAGCTCACTCTCATCAGGGTTTCAGGCAGCACTCGCAAGAGCCACGTTGCTGCATGTCAGGGCAGCCCTAGCTGTGGGACCCACGGGCTCGGGCTTGCAAGGCAGTCACGTTCTGCTCCTGAGTCATTCAGTAGGCGCTCATTAAGGATGATTATCGTTACTTTCATTATGGGCCAGTGGGCCACACCTGACAGTGCTTGGGGAGGGCATGTGCAGTGCCAGGAATTGAACCGTGTCTGCCATGGGCAGAGCAAGAGCCTCTACCCCTGTACTCTCTTCCTGGCTCTGACTTGATTGTATTTTTCCCAAGTATTTTGGGTGGCACATCAAAAGAGAACCGCATTTGGCTTTGTTATAAGAGCTATCAACACATTCTTCATTGTGAAAGGAGCTGAGCTCATGGAAGCCAAGTGAGCGGAGGAGAGATCCAAAAGTGAGGAATGCTGTTTTCCTTGGCAGCACGCGCCCCGTCATGACAGTTGTGTGGCGGATGTCATTAAATGTTTGTTGTTGTGGAGGGTGTGCGAACCTTGCTTAATTTAGGATTATGTAGACTTTAGATTCCTCTTCACCAGCTATACAGCCATCTTCTGATACTTTGTAGAGTGCAGCCTGGCAACTTCCAAATCATGCTTTATTACTTGGTGCTGTGTTGATTGAATGTTTAAAGTAATCTTCTCCTCCTCCCCTCTCCCCCCGCCCCCATTCCTCCTACTCCTCCTCCTGCTCGCTCTCCTCCTCCTCCTGGCTCTGCATTGAGGGATCACTCCTCGTGGGCTCAGTCGACCATATGGGGTGCCGGGGATTAAAGTCATATCAGCGGCATGCTAGGCAAGTGCCCTACCTCCTGTACTATCTCTTTAGCCCCAGTAACTTTTCTTTTCTGGATTAGCCTGCAAAAAAAAATTATTTAATATTCTGTCCAAAAATGCTTTATGTTTCCTTAATATACTGCGTAAGTATTGCAAGCCCGTACTTAAACAGCTGCTAAGTGCATCAGCTGTGCTTTCAGAAGTTATGTCAACATATGGTTTATACTCCTTAGCAATGAAGCAGATGATGTCACTGAAGAGAATTGCAAAGATTATTTGAGTCATGGTATTTATGTTAAAAGCTCTCTGAATAAATTAGTAATTGGTACTTATCTTATAAATGGCAATGAATAGTGTGACATTACAGTCATTATTTAGAAATGTGTGGGTAAAAGACTACCAAAGTGAAAATTCAGGGACTGGAGAGATAGTATAATGGGTAAGGGCGCTTGCCTTGCATGCCGCCAACCCAGATTCAGTCCCAAGCATTCCATATGGTCCCCTGAACACTGCCAGAAGTAATTCCTGCGTGCAGAGCCAGGAGTAACCCCTAATCTGCCATAAATAATCCTTGAGTGCAGAGCTGGGAATAAGCCCCGTGAACATCTGGGTGTGGAAGCTCCCAGTGCCACACCCCCCCCCCAGAAACGTACATATTTGCATACTTCTGATCATTGGCATCTGCATGTGGAACCTTAGATCTGTTGAAGTTCTCTCCTACATCACAAGATGCGCATCATCAACCTCTGTTTCTCAGTATGAGATTTTGGGGCTTTCTTTCCCGGGGGTGGGGGGTGTCACTCCTGCCTGCCCATGGTGACCATGTCTTGCTGGGGATCAGACCCAGGCCTCGTACATGTAGAGCACGCTCCCCAGCCCTTTGGGGTATCTCCGCAGCTGGCTGTATGGTCCATTTTTATACGAAATGAGTTTCCTTGGACTTATAGAAGGCAACATGCCTCACAGCGACCTTTCCAGTTCCATAGCACTGTGTCATTCTTGTGAAGTCCTGTGGGTTTGCTTTCCAAGATTTCTTGGTGCCTCCCCCCCCACCCCCACCCCCCCCCCCCCCCGCCCCATCAGTCCTCTCCTTCCTTTATTTTCTCCCTCTTTATGTCACTCAAGTTTTATTCTACCCACAGTGGTGTCTCTTTACCGGAGTCATTGGGTAGTTCTCAGTTTATGATGTTTACTTCTGTCAACCTCAGCTCCGTAACATTTCCTGTAGTCCTGGCACGGACGCCTGGAGTTGTCAGAGCCCTCCCAGAGCCGCTGTTCTCAGCCTGGCCAGTCTTCGCGTGTGTTCCTGTCCTTCCGCTGTGCAGACACCCTTGCCCCTGCCGCTGCCTGCCTCCCGCAGCTCCTAGTGATGCCATGCCGAGTGCCGGGTGCTTTCTCCTCACCAGATTGCTTTATGAGGGATCTCCTGTCACCGTAGTGTTGTCACATACTGGCATTCACTGAGTTTTGGTCTTGCTGAATGCTTGCCGGAGTTTAGTGTAGAGCAGTGGTTTTCAGCTGCTGGTCCATGGGTGCATGTCAGATGGGGTTCTCTCTGGTCTGCGGGAACAGCTGCTCTTTTTTAATACACAGAATGTCTGGGCGCTGGAGGATTGCACGCGGCAGCAAGGAGAAGTTGGTGCTGTGTGTATAAGCCTCATTCCTCCTGTTTCCACTGATTCGGTTATTACAAGATTGAGAGCTACTGATTACTTTCTTCTTTTTTCTTTTTGGTACCTCACCTGGCAGTGCTCAGGGTTTACTCCTGACTGCACTCAGAAACTATGGATCTCTCCTGGCAGGACTTGGGGGACTATATGGGATGCTGAGGATTGAACCTGGGTTAGCTGTGTGCAAAGCAAGTACCTTACCCGCTATATTCTCTCTGTAGCCCCTATACATACACATGAATTAAAATACTTTGTTTAAACATCATGGTTTACAAAGTTGTTCCAACACCAGTCCCTCCGTCAGAGTCGCTTACCTATCACCATTGTTCCATTTTCCCAACCACCCCCAAAGCTTGCCCATCTCCTTGGGATTTAGTTGTGAATCTGAAGAGCAGGACGGGTGGTGGATCAACGTGGTGGCAGTTGTGAGGTGGGCATGGCTGCCAAGGCTTCCAGAAGTGTGGATGGGGAGGAGGAGGCTGCCCTCTCCCACTTTGAGAAGACCCCAGAGTTTCTGCCTGAACACCGCAGTACCTGGGATTTTTGAGGTTTGATGTCTCTGCAGAGATTCTTAGTAAAGCAGAAGAGTTGTGACCCTTAATATTTTAAACCAGATTTTTAACATACTGCCTTTTTTATTTCATCATATTTTTTCCATTTTTTTTTTCATGTATCTAGATACAGGTCACATAGGTATATTTATCCTGAGCTGTGTAAGAGTTTTTGTAACATTTTGTCTTGATTGATTGATTGATTGATTTTTGGCCACATCTTTCTGTGCTTGACTGTTATTCCTGGCTCTGCACTTAGGGATCACTATCACTCTTAGAAGGGTTATGGGAACCATATGGGATTTAGGGATCGAACCCGGGTCAGCCACATGCAAGGAAGCACCCTACCTCCTACCTGCTGTGCTCTCTCTCTATCCCCTACATTTTGTCTTTTTTTGCTTAAAAAAGAAAGGGGTCACACCCAAAAGGGTCACACCCAGTGATGCTCAAAGGTTACTCCTGGCTCTGCACTCAGGAATTACTCGTGGTGGTGCTTGGAGGACCATATGGGATGCCAGGAATTGAACCCAAGTCGCTTGCATGGAAGGCAAACACCCTACCCGCTGTACTATTGCTCTGGTCCCCTACATTTTGTCTTTACCCTTTTAAGCTTATATTTCTTGGGTGCAAGTTTGTTCCTTTACACAAACTCAGACTCATGTTCTACTGCCTACACTCAGTGCTTTGGGGGCTGTGAAGTGTTCGGGATTGAACCTAGGCCTGTCCCACATGGAAAACATAAGACTTTAGCAGTTGGAGCTACCTCTCTGATCTTTACTCTCTAGTTTTAGTTGAAAAATTCCGGTCATTTCAAGGTCACTTGCTCCAGTCAAGTTCTTGTTTTTGCAGGGAGGTCACACCTGATGGTGCTCAGGGAACCTCTGGGTGGTGAGGATCAGCCTGGGGCGCCTGGGTGTAGTGCAGGTGCTTTCAGCCCGTTGAGCCACTCTTCCGGCCCCTCAAATTCTTAATGTTTTTCCCTTCCGACATGTCGGCAGTTTGGAAGAAATCAAGGCCAGTGATTGTGTGAAATTCACAGCTCAGATTTTCTTTCAGATAAGTAATAGCTTTTTCTTTTTATCAGAATACCATAACCTTTTGCTTTGTACTTTTTTTGGACAGCAAAGTTTATGATTCTAGTTCTTCTCCATGGTTTGTTTCTACTGCTTTCTGTCCCCCCCCACTTTTTTTTTGAGAGGCTGGTTAGTCGATCACTGTACTGCTGCTGCCACCCCCACCCCGAGTTGGAGTCAGTGAAGATGAACGCGTCTTTGTTTATCCTCCCAGCGTTCCCAGGGTAGGCGACCTTGGTCTTTCCCAGCGGGCCTGTGTGGTGGTACCTTTAGGTATAGCTGGTCATTTTCTGCTTTGGTGAAGAAGGTAAATTTACAGGGGAACACTGAGTAGTTTTTTTTTTTTTTTGCCCCGAAAAGGGAGCTAAGAATGGGCTCTTCATTCTAGGTAATTTGATGATTAGTTACCTTAGGGGAGCAGGCTCTATCTGAGAAATCTACATTCAGAGTTCCTTTTGTTTTCTTTTAGTTAATCAGTGTTTTTCTTACCAAGTGCTATAGGACCTGAGAGCTGCCGTTTGCACTGAACTTTGGCATCTAATTATATTTTTGGGGCTCAGATCTTTCAACAACAGATCTTTCAACTGTGTTTTCCAGGCAACAGCTGAACAGATGCGTCTCGCTCAAGTGATCTTTGATAAAAATGACTCGGAATTTGAAGCTAAAGTTAAGCAGGTATGTTTCTGGCCAGGGGTTCTATAGCTCTTGCGATCTGTTTCTTGTTTTGTTTGTTGGGGGGCGGTGGGCTCCCAGTGGTGCTGGAGTTCCTAGGCCACCCCCAGCTCTTCTCAGCCCTGTCTGAGTCTGATGGTTCTTTGCTCAGACCCAGAGATGGGGTGCTGCTTGGTCCCTGTGTGCTGGGGTCACCGGGATCCCGTCTGCCTGTGCTTAGGGTTTGCCACAGGTATCCCTGGTGGAGTGGGGAGGGGCCTGTTGCACAGGAGCTCCTGAGGGCCTGGGACTGAGCTGCCAAAGCATGTCCTCCAGCCCTTGGGGCCATCACTCCCCAATCTGCTCCTCTTGGAGGCATGGGGGGAGGGGTCTGGGCCGTACCCAACAGTGCTAAGGTATGACCCCTGGCAGTACTTGTGGAATGATGTGTGATGCCAGGGATTCAAAACAACATAGTTAGGAAACAAAGGAAGCACCTTAACCACTGTGTTATCTCTGTGGCCCTACAGTCTGTTCTTTTCATGGGTTTTTGGGTCATACCAGGTTCAGGGGCTACTCCTGGCTCTGCACTCAGAAATTATTCCTGGTGGTGCTCAAGGGGACTGCATGGGATGCTGGGGATCGCACCCAGGTTGACTGTACAAGGCCAGTGCCCTACTGTAACTCTGGCCCCTATAATCTTTTTTTTTTGTGGGGGTCACACCCAGCGATGTTCAGGGGTTACTCCTGGCTTTGCACTCTGGAATTTCAGGAATTACTCCTGGTGGTGCTCGTGGACCATATGGGACGCTGGGAATCGAACCCGGGTCAGGTGCAAGCAAGGCAAACGCCCTACCTGCTGTACTGCTGTCACTCTAGCCCCTCCCAATAATCTGTTTTTAATTGTACCTGGAAGACTAATTTCATAGGCCTGTACCATGGGGCTGTCTCCCCTACCCCACAGAGAGGCCCTGAATGCCTGAATCTTGTCGGGAGTGTCTCCTTCAACAATAAATTTTTTTCTCCTTTCCTTTTTTTCTTTCCCATACCCAGAGGTCTCAGGGTCTGTTTTTGACTCTGTGCTCAGGAGGGACCCCTGACAGTGCTTGTGAGACCATAAGCAGCACCAGGGACTTGAACCTGAGCCTGCAGGATGTAAGCAAGCGCTGTAACCCATTGTGTTGTCTTTCTGGCCCCACAGAGAAGATTGTTTCAAGTAGAAATTTAATTAATCAGGTCTACCAGGCAGTTCTCATGTGGTCTGGTGGCCACTCTGGGCTATTGCTGGCCAACTGGACTGAATATGAATAGTTTAGTGCTCGGGTTTGGTACATAGATTGTCCTGTTCAGACCCCAGGAGTGCTGGGGATTATGTGGTCCTGGGGATCACACTCAGGGGACCTGTGCGTGTGTTCTGACCCCTGAACTGTCTCCCAGGCCCCTTAATCAGATGTTTTAAGGAAGCTAACTTTTTTATGTGTTTGGGGGGCGGGAGGGATGTTGGGGCCATATCCCACCATGCTCAGGGCTTACTCCTTACTCTGCTTAGGGATCACTCCTGACGGACCTCAGGGAGCCATAAGCCTTGGTGTTGGGAGCTGAACTGGCGTGGCTACAGGAAAGGCGAGCCACTTAATCCCTGTACTTCCTCTTTGACCCAAAGTCTTAAAAAATAATAATAAGTTGTAGGGCAGCCATGGGGGCTAGAGCGATAGCACAGTGGGTAGGGTGCTTGCCTTGTGCATAAGCCAACCCCGGTTCAATCTCTAGCATCCTGTATGGTCCCTAGAGCCTGCCAGGAATGATTCCTGAGTGCAGAGCCAGGAGTAACCCTTGAGCATTGCTGGTTGTTGGCCCTAGAACAAAACAATAATCATTAAAATTTTTTTTTACTTGAAATGCTGTCACACCAACTAAGGATGTTTAGTACTTTTTGCTTATTTCAACTAATTGGCCCTTGAATTTACTCATGAAATGCCTTTCTTGATGATGAGTGTGAGGAGACTCAGTGTCTTCGTCCTCTTTGCTGCAGAATCTTGGCAGATTCACAAGGGTGATTTGTGGACACCCAGCCAGACATCTGCAGAGACACATTAACCTCATCTGTACCTGTGTTGAGAGCACTTATTTAAAAATACAAACATGATGTAACATGATGTAACATGTTGATGTAACAGGGTTCACAGTGGTGTTAGTGTTTCTGTATTAGGCACTGTGTCACAGCCCTACCCCCTCCACGACGGTCGCTCGGTCTCATCACCTCGTTCTGCCTCACCCCTTACCCTCCTGTAACTTCACTTCTGCCATCAGAGTCCAAGGGTTTGTGTTCATTGGGGGTTGGTGCTTTGTCTTTGCTCCTGGTGTTGCCCGGCACCACGCAGACCTGGGCATCAAACCTGCCTGTAGAGCACGTGCTCCACCCTGTTGACCTGTCTCCTGTCCAGAGGAACAACTTTGATGTGCTAGGGACTGAACCCAGGGCCTCACCTCACACATGCAAGACAAGATTTCTTGCTAAGTTCTACTTTTGCCTCTGCTTTCTTTGCATGGGCTCTTTGGTCACTGCCAGGAACCATTCCTCACAGATAAAAAAACAAAACAAAACAGCAAAACCCTCAAAACTCAAACCACATAGATCATGCATTTGCTTACTTAGAGAAGTCTGTTATGCCAAATTTGTGATTATTTCTAGTAATGGGGATGTTAAGTCATTCAGTCCCTTATTAAAGAGACTATCAGGAACATTTCTCTAATTTCTCTTAACATAGCTCTTTAAGAAAAGGGGGGAAAAAGTTTGTCTAGGAGTGGGTTTAATATAGTTGCTGATCTTGGATTTTAAGATCTTAGAGTATTAAAGGCTTTGTGTGTCTGTGGAGTGTTTTGCTCCAGGCAATGATGGCCCATATAGGGAGTGTCATTTCCTGTAAAGTAGTTGTCTTGGATGTTCTGCCCATGATGGTCACACAATCACACTTTGTCTTTTGAAAGCATAGTGCTGCATAACATTTGAGGAGTACAGATCTGGGGGGCTGTCCTATTGGTTGTGTAGTTATGTCTGGACTTGAGCATTCTGCGAATGCTGGTAAACACTCGTGTATGTGCTGTCAATGAAAACTCGTATATCGGGCCAACTTAAAAGACAGTTAATTTGTTGTTTGCATATGTTACTGTTGGTTAAAATTCATTGGGTGGCTCCTCTCTCCCCAGTTCCCCAGTCAGGTAAACCTGTTCTTAGATCGTAAACATGAGCTTACGATCTAGAAGAAGGTTATCTAGGCTGTTTTTATAGAGAAGGATCTCAGATATAATGTCAGGCCTCATTCTTGGTTTCTTTTTTTTTGTCCTGGTCACACCCAGCTATGCTCAGGGGTCACTCCTGGCTCTGTACTCAGGAACCATTCCTGGCGGTGCTTGGGCGACCATATGGGACGCCGGGGATCGAACCTGGGTCTGTCATGCGCAAGGCAAATGCCCTACCCGCTGTGCTATCGCTCCGGCCCCATCATTACTGGTTTCTGCTAACTATTTGTCTGGTCATTTCAATAGCTTATGGAAGTAACAGGAAAAAACCAGGATGAATGCATAGTGGCCCTCCACGATTGTAATGGAGATGTGAACAAAGCTATCAATATATTGCTGGAAGGAAGTTCAGACACAGTGAGTATTAGTAACACCGTTGACTTGCTGTGCCAAGATTCGTTTCTTCTGTGTTGCATTTTCAACCTCACCATATTGGGGGTAGGGCTGGGGATCATTATGGGTTCCATTACATATATATATTTATATACATATGTATTTATATATTTAAAGTTCCATTAAGAATATCAACATGAAATGACTGCTTTTGTTATGTATGGTTTCTTTATGAAGTCGTAGAATCTGAAGACTTGAAAGAAAACTTGGCCATCTACTCCAGCCTTAAACAATTTCCAAAATTCTCTGGGCCTGTGGACATTTTCACCTCCTGGGAAACTCCTCTTGGCTCCACTGCTCATGTCTCTTCATCTCAGTTGTCACCTCTTACTCCTCCTTTTATATCTCGACTCATAGAAAACCAGGAGTTGCTGGTATACCTATTTGCTTATGTGTGAATATTCTGCAGACACGATTTCAAACGACATAACAGAATAAACATTTGTTTTTTAACATGGCTTACTGTTGAGTATGCAAGCAAACTAGAACTCATCCCTTTATATTTAAAAAGGATGCAATTAGGTCTACAGTTTGTCACCCCAATTTTTAATTTCTTGGGTGATTCTAATCGTATTTATTTGTATTTTTAAATTAAGGAGACCATAGAAGAGGAGATTAAAACAAATAATGACAATCTAAAAAAGGGTACAGAGATGAACATCAAGAAATACCTTTTCCACTTTGAGGTTTAAGCGGGTTCTCATTTTTGGGAATAGACTTCATTAATGGGACAAACATGAAAATAAACAGACAAGCTGAAAAGGAAATGAGTGCATTTAATATATGTGTATGTATATATGTATATTCATATTTACTATAAAGAGTAGGGGAGAAGGATAATTTTGAGACTTTGTGAGACATTGAGACATTGTGAGACTTGTTACTGTTTTTGGCATATCGAATACACCACAGGAAGCTTGCCAGGCTCTGCCATGTGGGCGGGATACTCTCAGTACCTTGGTGGGCTCTCTGAGAGGGGTGGAGGAATCGAACCCAGGTCGGCTGCATGCAAGGCAAACGCCCTACCCGCTGTGCTATCACTCCAGCTCCTAAACAAGCAAAATAACTTTTTTAATTATAAAAGATAATCAGACAAGACATTTCACTGAGTGTGGCAGCATCAATAGACAAAATTCCATATAACATTAGACCACGTGATAAACTACCACATAGTTTGTTGGGAAAGTATGTTGTATTAAACGACTAATCAAAATAGTTTTGTTTGCTGGCATTCAGGGATGTATTTTTAAGAAATACATTTGCTTCATTGCTAAAGGACACAGCATAGAATGGCTCAAATTTCAAAAATGAACTGAAGAACTTGACTGCTGTCTTCATTTAAAAAAGATAAATAGCCATAATTATTTATCTGAAATATTTCCAGATAGCTAAATGGATGAGCGATTTTCTTTTGGAGGTAGAGATGGACCCAGATAACAACTGTTGCCTTTCTTTTCATTTCCTTTCTCTGCTGGTTGGTTGGTTAAATTTTTGAGTCATTATAGTCTCTCTCTCTCTCTCCCCCCCCCATCTCTCCTCTTTCTCCTCTGTTCTCTCACCTTCACTAGGATTTAACTTCATATCCTGACTTGAAATTGAATATAAAGGATGTGTTACTGGACCAATAATTGCATACAAGAAACATCTCTTTGGATACCTCTTAAATTTAAGAATCACACAGTGGGGACTGATCTGGCTTTTAACTGGAAGCAGATTAGAGATGGATTGTTTGGAAGTGAGGAGAGAAGGCTGTGGCAGAGAGGTAGAGTCGTGAAAGTCTCTGTGGCATTTCTTGTCTTACTGTTGCTTTTCCTTGTTTATTACCAGCTTGTCTGCCACAGCAGAGGCTAACCTCTCAGGAAAAATCTTCCCTTGACTGGAATGTAGTTCATTGGAGCAGGGCTGATAAGAGAATGTAGAGTTGCCGGGAGCAAGTAAACCCCGAAGGTCGAGGGATTCAGTTTGAGTACTGGAGTACATGCTTTGCATACATGGGGCCTTGGGCTGGATTTCTGGCACCAAAAAATAAAACATGACATGAAAACAGAAATCCCAGTGGGCTTATCTTATTTTGTGTTGGAATTATCTAAAACAAAATTGTTCTTTTGAAAAGTTGTATTGTCCGTAATGCTTTAACTATTTGGGGTGACTCGTGGCTGTGCTCAGGGGACCATGTGGTGCTGAGGATGGTACTGGGTCCCCCGCGTGCCAGGCCTGTGCTCCAGGAGATCGAGTTCTCTCCAGCCCATTACTTTATTTTCTTTATTTTAGTTTATTTTGGCATTTTTGAAGATGAACTTGTCTTTTTATTTTTTTTAAATGTCAGAGTAGCTATCACATAGAAAAATATCATCATGCTTTTCATTTTATGATAATGCTTTTTGAGCGACAAACTCATTTTGGAAGTATCAGTTCTTTGCTTGAATGTACTCTGGTAATTTGTTGTGTAGTTCTTGACATGAAAGATGGCAGCGGGAGTTTGGGTTTTGTTTTTTTGTTTGTTTTTTTTTGTTTTTTTGTTTTTCTGGGTCACACCTGGTGATGCTCAGGGGTGCTATCTCTCCAGCCCCGTATGAGTCTTCTTTTGTGGTATTTTTGGGTAATACCCAGTGGTGCTCAAGGGTTACTCCTGGCTCTGCACTCAGTAATCACTTCTGGTGGGCTTCAGGAACCGTATGGGATGATGGGGATTGAACCATAGCCTTGCCTTGTGGAAGGCAAGGGCCCTATCTGCTGTATTATCTCTGGCCCTACATGACGCAATCTTGAATGTGGCTTTTCTTCTTTCTGGGGGAGGGATCTGACCCACACCCAAAGGTGCTCAGGACTTTTTCCTGGCTCTACTCAAGAGGGAGCCGAGGGGTGCAGAGTGGACCAGGGTCAGTGGGTTGCACTGCCTTAACTCCTGTACTATTCAGCCAGAAAGCTATTTTCGGGTTACTCATTTGATGTTTCACTGCACCTGTTGTAAAAGTAGTAAAATAAGGATGACAGAGTTGCTGAAGTTCAGTGAAACCTTTTTGTAATTAAAGCTGGGTTCAGTTTGAAAGCCCATGTGTGTGCTTGCAGGAAGACTGCTGATGGGCTGGAGAGATGGTGCTGGAAGTGAAGGAGTTTACTGAGCACTGGGCTCACCCCAGTTCACATCCCTGTACTACAGAGCCTTCCCTGAGTACCACGGGGGGCCACTGCTGAGCACAGTACCCCCAGATGTGGCCTCTTTGCAGGACCCTTCCCAAATGGAAGGGTGATAGTTGGAGACGGGATCATCCTGCTAATAGTTAGTGTGTGACTTCTGCCCTAAAAGGCTGCATCCCTGTATCCTCGCACAGATCCTTCCTGTTAGTCTTTGTAGCGTTCACAAGCGGATACTGGGTTGAAAGGTATTCTTTGCTGAGTGCAGTGGGGTAAGACATTTCTCATTTTCGAATGTTTTCCATAGACTCTGTTCCTTCATGAGGAATGAGCAACTTTGATCTGGCTGTGGAAAGATCCTACAAATTGTATGTGCACCTTGTGCTGATTTTACTGTGTATACATTTGCTAGGACATTAGACATTCTTTTTTTGTCCTGTTTATTGACATCAGTGAACATAATAAACTTGTAACATTATAAGGCTTCCCCCATCCCACCCTCCTGGAATAGATAAGCATTTGTCCTTTTCCTCCACGCCCCCTCCCCCCCATTCAGAAAACAATCTAGAAAGATAAAATGGTTAAATATCCTCATTTTGGTAACCACTTCTGACATTCCAACATTTATAGAGATTCATACCTACTTCTCTCTCTCTCTCTCTCTCTGTTTCTCTTCTTTGCCTCTCTTCCTCCCTCCCTCCCTCCCTCCCTCCCTCTCTCTCTATCTCTCTCTCTCTCTCTTGCTCCTGGGTGTGGGTGTGGAGTGTGGCATCAAAGCCAAAAATAAAGGATTTTTTTGGGCCACCCCCAGTGGTGCTCAGGGAATCACTCCTGGCAGGCTCAGGACCCTATTTTGTGGTGCTGCAGGGATCCAACCCAGGTCAGCTGCGTGTAAGCCAAGTACCTTACCCGTTGTACCAGTCTCCAGCCCCCAAAGATCTTGATCAAGTCTTCGGTGGGAAATACCTTGTTTCGTATGTTTTTTTTTTTTTGCTTCATATTCAGTCATTCTTTATATAACTAAATATATGAATTCATCAGATTTTGATACCAAATACATTTTTTTTTCTTTTTTGAGTCACACCTGGCGATGCACAGGGGTTACTCCTGGCTCTGCACTTAGGAATCACTCCTGGCGGTGCTCAGGGGACCATATGGGATGCTGGGAATCAAACCCAGGTTGGCCGTGTGCAAGGCAAACGCCCTACCCGCTGTGCTATTGCTCCAGCCCCCCAAATACATTTTAAAAAATATGTATAGTCTGGAGCTGGGGAGGTAGCTCTAAGCGGATATGAGGGTGTCCACTTCGCAGGCACGGGGCCCCGCATCATTCCCTGACACCACGTGTGTCTTCCCTGAGCACTGTTGCTGTGGTCCTGAGCAGCGCCAGGCCCTGCAGGACAAGCAGGAGGGGCCCTGATTAAAACAAAAAATGTTTTAGATCTGGCTTTTGTTGTTTGGGAAATTATTCTGCCGTATCTTTAATTTTTGATTCTTAGGTTCCAGTGGTGTGTTGGTTCAGGATATGTGGTTGGTGAATTATATTTTAAGATTTTTAAAAATACCCAACCCTTAAAACAGGTACTGCTGTTATTTGGGGGTTGAATACTTTCAAATATCCTGTGAAGTAAAGTAATTATCAAGAACTAAAAGGAAGCAGCTGAGCCAGCTTGGGAGATTTTCCAGTAACAAACCCCGATTGAGGCTTTTTCTCAGCAATAGTACACACAGACATAGTGTATACTTCCATCATACATAAGATCTGTCTTGGCATCACCAGGGGAAGAGAGGAAGTAAAGGGAGAGACGTAAGTAATGTGAATAGATTTTTGGGGTTGAAATTTTGGGTAGTTTGGAAAAAAATACCCGCCTAAGTGTTATTTGCCTGCTGCTACAATTTGGGGTGCAGGGGGAGCTGTGACTCAGGGTAGCCCTGAGCTCTGCTTCCTGCTCTGTGTGCGCCTGCCCCAGCTGCAGAGGCGCCACCCGCGTGGTTGAGTAGGCATCAGAGACACGCGCACGGCCTGTACACCGGGCCTTGCCAGGATGACCACCCTGACCGTGACTCTTGTCTTCGCTAGACTTCATGGGAGACTGTCGGGGGGAAGAAGAAGAATTTTGGAAAAGAAGGTTCAGAAAACAAAGAGAATCGAGAGAAGAGGAACGAGAGGGAAGGGAGCCGCGGGCGTGGCGGGAACCGGAAAGGAAGAGGCGGCAGCCGTGCCCCCCGAGAGTGTAAGTGCAGACCTTTCCCTTCCATTTGGCTATGCGAACGTGCATGCATTCCCACCGCCTCCAGCTCTCTCCAGGGAATGCTGGAAAATCCTCCTCGATGCAGGATTTGCCGTTGCAGTTCATTCTTTCAGAGGGTTTCAGCCATGTAGCTCATCATTGTCGTAATTCATAAAGTTTCAAAGCAGGTAATGTAGTTGTTCAGAGTCTAAAGACAGCTCCATTAGAGAGAATGTACACCTAACTTTTGTGGCGGTTGATTTCTCATTCATTATTAGATAAGACAGTTATTCTCCACTTACAGAGATACTCAGGATATAGGCAAGGGTTAGATTAAAAGGGAAGGTGAAAGGAAAATAGTGGGAAAGGTGACTTGTCTTTATTTTTTGGCCACACGTGGCAGTGTTCAGGGGTTACTCCTGGCAGTGCTTGGGGTGGGACCACATGGGATGCTGTGGATTGAACTCAGGTTGGCCACATGCAAGGCTAATGCCCTACCTGCTATACTGTCTCTCCGGCCCCTGACTTTCTTTTAGGGGACATAGTTGACGTAGCAGTAAAACGACATTTTAGTATTGTTCTAAGGATGTGACATTGGGGTTATAGGGAGGTTTGGACAAATTTAAGATGGCCCAGATGGCCGTAGTGACTGCTCCCAGGAGTCAAGGGCGGAAGGAGTTGTGGGGCAACTGTTATTGTACAGTAATGCCAGTACTGTCGTTCATCCTGGACCAACCCCTAATACTAATTTTCTCAAAGACCCAGTATTTTCTTTTTTCCAGTGCATTTTCACGATTTGAATCTAATGAATAGATTCTTTAGTCTGTTGCATACTTGTCCAGTAAAGTCAGTTTTTTGTTGTTGCTGGGCTGAGTCTGGGCTGCAGCTGGCCATCTTTCTTAGCGGACGATGTGATGCCAGAGTTCAAACACAGGACTCCTTCCCTGGGAGCCGGCTCCCAAGTTTTAAGAAGAAGGTCATTTATTTTTTTCATTTTTTGCTTTTGTTTTCTGTGTGTGTGTGTGTGTGTGTGTGTGTGTGTGTGTGTGTGTGTGTGTATTTGGCCACACTGTGTAAGGGCTTACTCCTGGCTGTGTGCTCAGGGATCACTCATGGTGGGTCGCAGGGAAGTATGTGGGGTGCCAGGGATTGAGCCCAGGTTGTTTTGTTTTACCTGCTGTACCATCTCTCTGGCCTTTGAAGGTGGCAGGCTTACTCTATAGGAGAACACAACCAAAGAGAAGAAGCAGTGATGTTATTTCCCAGTTTACGTCTGCAAATGAAACATGATCAGCTGTCATTTCATTTTTGAGTTTTTTTTTGTTTTGTTTTTGGGCCACATGTGGTGATGCTGAGGGGTTACTCCTGGCTCTGCACTCAGGAATCACTCCTGTTGGTGCTCGGGAAATAGTAAGGGATGCAGGGATCAAATCCGGGTTGGCCACATGCAAGGCAAATGCCTTACCTTCTGTACTGTCACTCCAGCCCTTTGAGTGTCTTTGATGTGATTTTTTTTTTTTGGTATGATACTGCTTTTGTATCATGCATGATCTTGTTTTTTCCGTTTTCTGAACCCTTTGAGTAAATTTTAGCCTTTTTTTTTTTTTTTGGTCTCTATCCTTGGCTGGTGTGATTATGTACTAGAGTTGCTCTTTTCTTCCTCAGTTAGAGGCGAAGAGAATGGAATTGATTGCAGTCAAGGGGACAAACCTTCAGACCGTGGCAAGCGAGCTCGTGGGAGAGGTAAGACAGAATAAAGGGGAAGGAGGTTTTTGCCAAAGGAGAGTGTCATGGCAGGTGACTGCCCTGCTGGACACTTAAAATTGTGGCAAGGATGGTTGATCTTAAATCTATTGCTTTGGTTTTGATGCCAAAGGATGAAGAGTTTGGATTATGTGGTTCTGAGGAAAAGCTACTGTTTTTCCTAAAATGAGTGGAGAAAATCCTTTATATTAATATGAGAAGCTCTAATCAAAGATTTATTATTAACTTTTTTATGTTGGATTTAGCATGTGTTCCAATCATGTTACACTGGTTTAAAGTTATTATTTGTCTGTTCTATTGTTTTCTGATAATGATTTTTTTCCTTTTTTTTTCCCCTCTGGGTGGTGATGACAGGGATTAAACCCAGGACTTCACACTAATCACTGTTCCTTTTCTTTCTAATTTTTGTTTTTGGGCCATACCCGATGGTGCTCAGGACTTACTCCTGGGTTTGTGCTCGGGGAATCACACTTGGCAGGCTTGGGTACCACATGAAATGCTGGGGATTTGAACCTGGGTGGGACCACATGCAAGGCAGGTGCTCTATCCATTGTATTATCACTCTCCAATGATTATTTCTTAGCATTTATTAATTTTGGAGGTCATTAGATCATGTCAGAGATGCGGTGTTGTAATGATATCTCTCATCATTATCAAGTCAAGATACTTAATATATATAGAATGTGTTTTGATACAGTGTAAGAGCTACCTTAATTTGGTTTTTATTGTTCAATGCGTTGAAGATCTGTAAAAGGTCAGCCTTTTTGTAGTGAGAACTTTCTGTATAGTTTTCGGTCACAAAAGATGATGCTCAGGGGGCCGTGTAGTGCCAGGGATCTAACCTGGGTCTTAGACATTCCAAGCATTTTTTCAGGGACTAGAGCTATAAAGTACATTAGGTGTTTGCCTTGCATGCATCTAACTTTGACTTCAACCTTTGGGTCAGCACCCCATTTAGTCCCCCCAAGCACTGCCTGGTGTGGTCCCAAAACCAAACTGAAAAAGCATTTTCAGTCTTTGAGTCATATTGGCCCTGAATTTGCGATTATTAAGGTAAAAGGTAAAGGCCCTCCCGTTGATCGTCGATTTGCTCGAGCGGGCCCAGTAACGTCTCCATTGGAGACTTTGTTGTTACTGTGTCTGGCATATCGAATACTCTCGGTAGCTTGCCGGGCTCTCCAAGAGGGGCAGAGGAATCGAACTCGGGTAGGCCATGTTGGCCGCTTGTAAGGCGAACGCCCTACCCGCTGTGCTATCGCTCCAGCCCTTGCGATTATTAAAATAAAAATATCTTTTCATGGAATCAGGGTTGTACGTTATATACTTTGGCTTTTTGGGGGATTTTGGGAGAAACCCTGAAGTGTTCGGCCTATTTCTGGCTCTGTGCTCAGGAGTGAGCCCTGGTGATACTCAGGGAACCATGTGTTGTGCGGGGAATCAAACCAGGGTGGTAATGGAACAAGTTCCTCACCACCTATACTGTCTAACCAGCCCCACATCATGTATATTCTTAGGAATCTAGAGGAGTTCTTATTTATAGGTTCCCCCTTTTTCTCTTTATCAATAATTCCTGGCTCTTAAGTCTTGAGTTTTCAAGACACATAACACAAAAATGTTAAAATCGGATTCAAACTTTTTTCTTCCCCTTTAAGATTTAAGACTCGTGTCTTTTGTCTAGTAAAGTGTCAACTATGATATCATCCTGCATTTGTCTTTCATTGTCATTTATCTCATTCTTTCATATTGTCTGTAAATGTAAATTAACTTTAAAAATTGGCTTTTTGGGACTGGAGTGATGGTTTGTTGAACCAGGTTTAATCCCTGACACCCCATATGGTCTCCGAGCCCTGCCAGGAGTGATCACTGAGCACAGAGCCAGGAATAAGTCCTGAGCACCTCTAGGTGTGACCCCTCCTCCCCTCCTCCACACACACACACACACACACACACACACACTGGATTCTTGTATGAATGAGACCTGAGATTTGACCCCTGGCATCACACATAACACAAAAGCTTTAAAATCAGATACAAATTACCTTCTCTTCCCGTCCCCCACCCCCACCCCATCCCTAGTTTTAAACAGGTCTTAACCTGGGGGTTAAGGAGCCCAACAATTCCTGTCCTGGTGGGCAGTGCTTGGTAGGACCATCCAGGGCTACTCTGCAGGCCTCTAACTTGTTTCCTGGGGTGAGAGATATATGGTCCCCAGGATAGAACTCAAGGCCTTACATGCAGTCATGTGCTCTGCCACTTGAAGCTATCTTCCTGGTTCCTACGTCTTGAGTTTTCAAGATAAGCCTAAGTGGTTATGTGTGTTTTATATTGCTTTGCATCTAAAGGTACTTTCAAGTCTCAAGGTAATGTGTAGGTTAGTGACTACGTTATCTCCTTTCAGTCAGTGTATCTGAGTTTGAAGGTAACTGCAGTTTTTTTCCCTGTTGGTTGGTTTAGGAGCTCTGATGCTCAGTGGCTGTTTGCCTGTCTATGCACACAGGTGATTCCTGACTGCTCAGGAGTTGTTCCTGGCAGTGCTTGAGGGACCATGCAGTGCTAGAGATGTGAGCCCAGGTTTCCAGCATGCTTAACATGATTCTTAGCATTTTTTAAAAAAATAATTTAGTTTATCAAAGATTTCTCAGAATTGCAGGGACCTGCAGCGTCTGAATTCCACATTGTGATTCTCTGTAGCAGGCATGGTGTGCTTAGGGGAGCTTTGGATCTTGCCTTGTCTCTTCAGCATGTGGAGGGCCTGCTAGTGCTGTAATGAAATGTATTTGTGATATTTACCCTGCTCTTCAGTGTTACCTATTTAAGGAATGTTTTTCCCTAACATTTACCGAGCGCTTTATTGTGTCCTCGCAGGCAGCTTGCAAGTAATTTTTACCTACTTGCATTGACTCTCCGGCAGGAAAACCCTTTCAGCATAGCTCTGTGGCTCTGCTGTTGTATTGCATGTGACCTCGAGAATTGAGGCCTTCCAAGGGCAGATCACGTGCTCAAGGTCAAGGCCTGAACTAGTTTTTACTGAGTCCAGATTCTTTGGGACCTGGACAGAAAGGAAGATGTGAGCATGAGTCAGAACCTGGTTACTTGCCGTGTTGCCTCCTCCTTCCTTCAAGGAAGGGTGTAATGTAGTAGTGTGGCTATCACAGATTCTCAGCATCCTCCTCACCTTGTTGCTATGGTGACTCGGGGAGTAACATACTTGACAGTGCCACCATCTCACCAGCTGCAAGGGTTGTGCTCTGCACAGTCTCAGGGATCTAACTTCAGGCCTTCAGGTGCTCGACCACCGTGCTGTACCTTGAGCCCTCAAGCTGACCTTAACCCAGTTAGACTAATTAAGTTCAGACCCCCTCCTTTAAAAAAAAATTTTTTTTTTTTGGGCTATTTCGATAGGCTTGATGTTCAGGAATCAGTCCTGGCAATACTGGGAGGTGGGGATTAAGGAGGACTGCATCAGTGCCTGAGAGTGAATCTTGCTCAGCTGTGTGCATGGCAAGCTCCATAACCCCCGAGCTAGCTGTATCTCGAACCCAAGACTTTCCTCTTAATAATAATATTTACTTGGGTTTTTGTTGTTGTTGTTGTTCTTGTTGTTGTTGTTTTCAGCCACACTGGTGATGCTCAGGGCTTAATCCTAGCTTTGCACTCAGAGTCACTCCTGGTGGTGCTTGGGGGGGAGGAGGGGTCATATGGGATGCCTGGGATCGAACTCTGCAAGCTTTACCCACCATGCTGTCTCACTGACACTTTAAATAAATGTTTTTGGGGTACAATTTTTCTATCATAACACATGTGGTTATGTTTACGGAGCCTGCTGAAGAGCAGTGTTGTGTGTTTTGAAGTTTCCCTGAATTGTTTAATGTCTCAAACCAAGAAGAGAGGAAGTCACTAATTTAGTACCCAGTTTGCATTAAAATTATTTTGCATAGTGAGTATTCAGAAATACAGTTTAGTAGTAATTGAATAGTTGTGCAGGACAGTGGCTCGTCACTTGCATTATTATTTTTTAAAAATATTTTTATTTTATAAAGTACTTTACGATATTTCATTACATTTAATATTTGAACACCAATCCCACCACCATTACGCCTTCCACCTCCATATTTTGGGTGTTTCCATCCCGAACCCCAACCCCTGCCCCAAAACAGAACCGAAATAATTTATTTTGTATTGTTATGAAAATCCTCTAAAAATGCTCCAAAAAAGTTTCCTTAGAAGAAAGAGTGTGAAGATTGTTGTTTTTCAGGGCCATTAAGCCCTTCTATAGTCACTTGAGTTATTTTCTGGTATCATTTTAGGACTATACTCTGATATTGCTCAGGGCTGTTCCTGACAGGATTTGGGGGTCATGTGTTAACTTTGTGGGGACTGCAAAGCTTGTACTTCAGTCCATTGAACTTCTCGTTTTCATAATTCATATCTATTTTAAGCAATGTACCTTTCTCTCTTTTTTTTTTTTCTTTTGCTTTTTGGGTCACACCTAGCGATGCTCAGGGGCTGCTCCTGGCTCTGCACTCAAGAATCACTCCTGGTGGTGCTTGGAGGACCATATGGGATGCTACAGATCAAACCTGGGTCAGCCGTGTGCAAGGCGAAGGCCCTCCCCGCTGTCCTATTGCTCCAGCCTTCAATATGTCTCTTTATAAAGCTGTGTTATATAGACTTAATTCACTAAGTTTTTTGAGGTTTTTGTGGGACCAAAGAAATAGTAATTAGATAAAAGAAGGATAATAAAAATTGATGTGCATGCATGCATTCCTGGCATTTAGGCCTTGGGTCTCAAATTGCCCACATTGAGAAAAATTTTGAAAATGACAAAAAGACAATTTTTCTGTTTACTCATTTTTACCAAGTCTTTACCAAGTCTTAATGAGACAGGGCACTCCAACAGGGCTCTCCTTGTCAAGTCCATGCTGAATTTATTTATTTTTGTTGTTGTTTTGTTTTTTTAGAGGGTGTTGTGGTCCACAACTGGCAGTGCTCAGGACTTACCTCCTGGCACTGTACCCCTGGAGCATTCTTGATGAGACTAGGGCGTAGCCCGGTTTGGTTCCTGACGCCCCATATGCTCCCCCGGCACTTCCAGGTGTGATCCCTGAGCACAGAGCCAAGAGTAAGCCCTGTGCATTCAGAAAACGAAAACCAAAACTATTGATGCAACGTACAGGCCACGTACAAGTTTTTTTCTAATATTCCTGAAGTGTTTTATTAATAATGGAAAAATAATTTCTCTGGTCCAGTGTCTAGTCCAGAAGTTCCCACGCCAGCTTGTGTCTCGATAAGTCACGAACCCATCATCAGGGCCGGAGAGCTAGTACTGCGTGTAGGGCACCTGCCTTGGTGCGCAACTGACCTGGCTTCAGTCACAGGCATCACATAGGGTCGCCTGAGCATCGCCGTGGGTGATACCTGAGTCCAGAGCCAGGAGTTATCTCTGAGCATTAGAGGTGTAGCTCTCTCCCACCCCCCAAAAAAAAAAATCCTGAAAAAGAGTAATATATCACTTTGGAAATTTTATTTTTTCTTGGCTTTGACATTTCAAAATGAACTATTTTTTGAGAGTGTCTTCAGTGTTCATCTGAAGTCTTCTCATGGTTAAATTCTTGCTTCCAAGTTTTGGCAGTAATAGCACAACGCACTGGTAACTACTCCCCCTTCATTGCCACACATCTGAGGTGCAGTTTTTATTTTGAACTGCTGGATGACAGCCAAATGTCACAGATAATGATGTAGGGCCATAGTATGGGGCACTAAGAAGAACATTTCAGGCCAGATGGGTTAGGTTTTAAAAATCTTCTTCCTTGACTTGGTTAATGTTTATGTGAAGATTGCCTGGTTTGTTATTGGGTCAAATTCTGATATCAAAAATTAAATCATTGTTTCTTTCCTTTAAACTTAATTTTAGGGCTTACGTTGCCATGTTTGTACTTGCTGAGGTTCAGAAAAGCCTAGAGTATTTTATAATGTAACCTGCCTGTGGTTATCTGTCCCCACGGATAACAAAAGCCTGAGCAGAATTCTTTCCTCCCCTTTGAGATCAGTGACAGTGGATGCTGGTGGCTGTTAGGAGAGACCAGTAGGCTAAGTTCCCTGGATGGGAGCGTCAGTTATGGTGACACGGTGTCTGGGCAGGTGTGTGTAAAACTATAAATCTTGTAGGACCCAATTGTAGTATTCTATATTATTATTAAAAGAAATATTTTTTTTAAAGGATTTGGACGTGGCCGAGGGAGAGGAGGAAGATTCTCGACCCAAGGCATGGGGTAAGTCTCAGCTGTATACAATTTTTGTACCTGTTACCTTTTCAAGTGGTTACTTTTGTTTCCGCTAAAGCAGATCACTTCTTGAGGGGTGAAGTGATTGAGGTGGCCGAGGGTGTGGCTCTGTGCTCCTTGTGCCTTTCCTTGCATGTTTAAGTCCCCGGGCTTGATCTGCAGAGCTTAAATAGAGAGACAGAGTGAGACCGTGAAATACTACGAATGATACTTGTATTGCAGTAGGGCTTAGAGTCTTCATCTTTGCTGACATTTTAGATTGAAGAGCAGTTTTTTGGGGTGCCCGTTACGTTATAGAATGGCTAGTAATACCCCTGGTCTCTCCCTGCCTCAGATTGTGACAGCTAAAACTGTTTCTGCCAAATGTTCCCCGAGAGGGAGCTGTACAACAACCCCTAGTTACAAACCCCTGTGTTAAAAGGATGCTGTGAATCCATCAGTTCTCTAAATTGATGATTGAATACAGCGTTTATTTCTGTAGAAGTGAGTTTTCCTTCCCCTGAATTGTAATAGTGAAGGGAGCAGACTATTAAATAGGTGGCATTATTTCCGGTATCTTGGTTCTTTCACTTTCCTAAACATTTGCCTCTTTCTAGATTTTCAGAGAAAGTTGAAAGGGAATTTGTTTGTTTTTGTTGCGAGGCCACACCTGGTGGTGACTCTGGGCTTACTCACGGCTCTGTGCTCAAGGAACACTCTGGGGTCATATGGGCTTGAACCCAGGTCAGCTTTGTGCAAGGCAAGCACTCTATTATCTCTCCTGTCTCCAAAATTAAAAAAGCTTTTAGTAATTTTTTTTGGGGGGAGGACAGGCGGCGGTGGCCATAGCCACTGCTTAGGAGTGACCCCTGGCGGGGTCTGGGGACCATTGTGAGTTGAGTGGGGTGCAGACCTTAACCCTTGTGTTGTCTCTGGCTCAGAGCTTTTAATTTACTTTTTTTTTTTTTTTTTTGCTTTTTGGGTCACACCCGGCGATGCACTGGAGTTACTCCTGGTTCATGCACTCAGGAATCACTCCTGGTGCTGCTCAGGGGATCATATGGGATGCTGGGAATCGAACCTGGGTCAATCGCGTGCAAGGCAAACGCCCTACCCTCTGTGCTATTGCTCCAGCCCCAAGGCCCAGAGCTTTTAGTAGTGCCATGTGTCGATAACGCCGAGATAACTATATGTGCTGAGCCCTTTAACTGTGATTTTGAGCAGTGGTGTTTGGTCATTGCCTGCAACCGCGTCTCTTTCCTACCTGATTGTCAGTAGATGAAGTAAGGATAATAGTACTTCATTATCTTTAGAAGGACAGAGGCTGGAGTGATAGTATAGCGTGTAGCACATTTGCCTTGCCTGTAGTCTACCCAGGTCTGGTCCCTGGTATTTTATATTGGTCCCCAGAGCAATGGCATGAGTGATTCCTGGGTGCAGTCAGGAGTAACCCCTGAGCATTGTCAGGTATGGCTCAAAATTCTAAATAAACAAATAGAAATAAAAAGGCAGAGAGCAAAGTGGCAGAAAAATTGAACATTGGTTTCAAATGATTCCTTGTGAGTTTAGTTTTTAAAAAATTAATTGAGGGGCTGGACTGATAGCACAGCGGGGAGGGTGTTTGCCTTGCACACGGCCGACCTGGGTTCGATTCCCAGTATCTCATATGATCTCCCTGAGCACCTCCAAGAGTAATTTCTGAGTGCACGAGCCAGGAGTACACCCTGTGTATCACCGAGTCTGACCCAAAAAAAGCAACAACAAAAAGAGTTTTATTGAGCACCTGCTAGCATCATATGTTAATGCTTTATAAAGTACACGACTATTCAGTCTCCATAACTGGAAAGGGCAAACTGTCCAAAACTAAAATGAGAGAAATGACTCTCGTAGAGGTTATATGGCTTATGTATAGGCAGAAACTTCTGAAATTCAAAATCTGGAATGTGAATTTATTTCTGTTTGTGGGGGTGTGTGTGTGGAAGGTCTATTCAGTTTCTGGACCACACTGGGGTCTGAGTCCTGTCTTTGTACTCAGGTCAATCATAGTGGTTCTCGGGGGATCATATGCGATGCTGGGGATTGCATCTTGTACTATCTCTACCCCTCCTTTTTTTTTCTTTTTCTTTTTGGGTCACACCCTGCAATGCACAGGGGTTACTCCTGGCTCTGCACTCAGGAATCACTCCTGGCGGTGCTCAGGGGACCATATGGGATGCTGAGAATCGAACCCAGGTCGGCCACATACAAGGCAAATGTCTGACCCGCTGTGCTATTGCTCCAGCCCCACCTCCTCTTTTTTTTTCTTTTTATAAAAAAACAAAAATGCTTAAACCATGTCTGAGCGCTTCTGTCGGTGTGTATTCTAGTGTCTAGTTTCTCCTTTTTTTTTTTTTTGCAGAGACAGGGTAAAGTTTTAAAATCATCTTCTTTGTTGGGCTAGAGAGATAGCGCAGTGGGGCACGGCACTTGCATGTTTGACCCTAATTTGATCCCTGCCACCCCATGTGGTCCTCGCTGAGCACAGAGCCAGGAGTAAATTATAAACACAACTACATGTGGACCGAGAACCAATAAGCAGACTCAAAGCCAAGCTCATGTTCTGACACAGGAAAAAAAGGCCGATTGCTTGCTAATGTGTGGGTGCAGTTTCTGGAGGTACCATCCACTGGCCCTCATTCAGCCTGGGGTCTTTATAGGGCCCTGCGTCCGCACCAGGCCCAAAGACAGGCACCGCGAGGAGATGGCTGCCTCGTGCCAGTTGTGTGGAAGTCCCTTGAAACCACTGTTCTTCAGGTGATCTGCATCCTTGCATCCTGCTGGCCTCAGTTAAAGAGGCAGAGGGCCATATCTTACTTGGGCTCTGAAAGGGATTGGGCTTATATGGGAGAAGACGATGTACAGCTGATTTTGAGCCTTTGCTGGTTGCATCATTTACTTTCATCCTTTATTTCTACTTCCAGGACCTTTAATCCTGCAGACTATTCAGATTCTCCCTCTGCGGATGGCTGTGTGGCGAAACCTGTAGTGAGAGAAGCCGCTCAGAATGGGGCAGTTGAGGGAACTGGTAAGTAGCTCTTCTTGTCAGAAGTGTGTGTGTGTAAGAAACTCTTTTTGGGGCCAGAGAGGTAGTATGGCAGGTGAGGCTCGTGCACCATATATGGTCCCCCGAGCCCCACTGGGAGTGATTCCTGAGCATAGCAGGGGAGGTCCAGAAGACCTAAAAAGGAGAAGGGGATCATCTCTTCTTGAGAGAGATGTGTTTGTGTGCGTGTTTGCTGGGAATTGGTCCCTCGGCTAGACATTCAGTTTGCGTCTTGAACCTTGTTTTTTGTTCTTGGAATGTCAGACGCTAAGCTTGGGAGGTCCCTGGGTCACTACTGGGCCAGAAGCTCTATGTGGGGGCTGAGGGTGTGGTACTGCTCCGGCTCTATGGTGCTGGGCATCACTCAGGCCAGTCTGGAGGCCTCCAAAGCTGACCCGAGTAGTGCCCTGGGGTGGGGGGCGTTGGGATTGCACCAGCATAAGGCAGGCACCTTAACCCACGCAGTCTCTCTCTGGCCCTTCATGTTTGCCTTTAAGTTCTTCCCCTATCCCTCGACCCCTTTTTGAGTCACGCCTGCTGAAGTTCAAGGGTTATTCCTGACTCTGCACTCAGAAATTATTCCTGGTGGTACTTTGGGGGACCATATGGGATACTGGATATGGGGATCAAACCCTGGTTGACCATGTTCAAGGCAAGTGCCCTACCCATTGTACTATTGCTCTGGCCCCTACCCTTAATTTTGAAGGTGGCGTTATAATGTGCTGATGGAGAATGAAAAACAGGCTGTTGTCTTACCTCTGAGGCTGTCAGCTTGTTTTTCCTCCAAAGTCTCTGATTTAATCATTTTATGATGTCGTGGTATTTGATTTTTTTTTTCCATCTGCATTCCAAGAAAGACGCTGTTATCAGTCTAAGTAAGTACGAACCCACACTCAAATTTTGGTGCATCAAAGACCTATAGAATTTTAAGAATACTAATTAGAATGGAGAGTTAGGAAAGGATACTACTGTAGTTGTCAGAAATTTGTATTATCTATTCCTCTGGAGGTTGGGCATGGGAATTTGCTGGATAAAGTGGTAACTTGGATGGGTTTGTTCAGGAGCTGGGATCCCTCCAGGTAATTTTCTGATGCTTTGAGGGTTGTCCCAGAGTTCTGTTGAGTGGGGAGAGGGGATTGAGTCAGAGTTGGCCACACATGTGGTATGCATCTTACGTTGTTTTTTATTTCTGTCCCTATGTATTTGTTTGTTTATTTTTGGGTCCATATCTGGTGATGCTCAGGGCTCTGCACTAAAGGATCTCTCCTGACTGGCCCCAGGGGACCATATGGGATGCTGCAAATTGAACCCAGGTCGGCCGTGTGTAAGGCAGCACCTCACTCTCTGTATTTCTGTATTTCTGCTCCAACCCTTCCCTGATGTAGCTAATAGTTCATTTGAAGTTCATTAATAATGATATGCGTTGTAATGATATGCATATTATTTATAGCATAATATGACACATGTGAATTATAGCCACCTTTCCCCGAAAGTATAGCTTAATAAATTATCACAAACCATACTTCCAAAAACACATCAAGCCTCGTCAAAAATAGGACTGTCGTAGAAGCAGTCAGTGAAATAGAAATCAAGGGCACTGCTGGAGAAGTCAGCAAAAGTTATTGCCTTTTTATCCAGTTGATAACCTTCTGTCACACCTGTGAAGGGAAGAACAAGAAACAAGCTATTGCTACTGATCATGGCGCTGTTAAAAGATCACGGGCTACTTTATACCAACACATTCTTTGTGCTTCAGCTTAATCTGACTTTTCAAACCCTTAGACCAAGAAAGAGAGAAAAGCTTGGTTAAATTTAAACTCGGCATTTGAGTTTAATATTTACAGATAACCCGCAGCCTTGGCCTGGGGATGCACCTCTGTTGGGTGGCCAAGAACAGATCTTACGGCCCCAACCCAGAGCTGGTGTGCATGCCCCGTACCACAGCAGAGTGTGCAGAAGCTGGCACCCGGAGCCTGTGGGCACCGCAGCTCTGGTCTGTGGCCCGGGAGCGCAGGCCCTGGAATGTGCTAGCATCCTTACCTGGAATGGGGCCTGTGTTCACTGCTGCAGCAACAGGGCGAGGAAGGGCCCCCTCTTTCCACCAAGTACCTGGCTGAGGTGGTCCTGGTTAATGACTTTGAAAGGTTGAAAATAAATTAAATAGCCATCTCCTGTTTAGAAACATGCAAGAAAATAGAACAAGAAGAAGAACCACAGATGTTCAGAGATACTAATAAAAACCAAAACCTGGAAGCAACTAGTTGTCCCGCAGAGGGTGCTATGTGGCGTATTAAGTGACACCAGGCAGGATATTCTGCCAGTTTATGGGAGAAATTTGAAAGACAGGCTGAGTCAAAACTCTGTTGGAGAGGGGCTGGAGAGAGAGGGCAGTGGTTAAGGCGCTTGCCTTGCACGCGGCAAACCAGGTTCAATTCCTGGCCCCTGAACACTGCTGAGAGTGATCTTTGAGTGCAGATGGGAATGCCACGTGTGCCACTGTGTCGCCACTGTGCCCCCTGCCCCTCCAAGTAAACCTGATTAGAATTACACATTTTATAAATTAAAAATAATTTTTTTATTGGGGGCGGGTTGTTCTTTTTGTACTGTGCTGTGTGCAAGGCCAGTTCCTTAACTGCTGTGCTATTGCTCCAGCAAGTATATATCAAGTCATACGCTTGGTGAGTAACATTTTATAAATTTTAACATATTGATTTGACACATTTATGTATTTACTGAATATATTAATGAACACCACAGCAAAAATGAGTGTTACCTTTATCAGGATAAAGGAGAAAATTCATCATTTCAATAAGATAAGCATTTGATAACACTTCACATTCTTGATGTTTTGGAATAAACCAGCAAACTTATAAGGAAATTTTTTTAAATAGAAAAGGATATTTCTAAACCATAGAGCACTTACAGTTAATGATGACTACTGGAGTAAACTCACAGTGCCTCCACTCAGTGTATCTACTGGGTGTTTACAGGACCTCTGAGAGTACCTCATCATGGCTGTGACGGAGCCCAGACCGTCAGTAGGCATTGGAAATGAGAAGGCTTGGAAAAGGAGAGGAAAACCCACCTTTTCGGGTTACAGCATTAACCAGAGAATTAATAAGGGAGTTTCAAAAGGGGTCCCATGCAAATTCAGTAGACAATTCTGTAACAGAGGTTTCATCTTGGCGTACTTTCACCAACCAAGAGAATAGAGAAGAAAGAAAGATTAATGGTAGCCTTAACAGGTGCAAATCTAGGCGCCAAGGATGTGCACTTGCCTTGCGTGGGTGATTTCCCTGGGCTCAGTCCCTGACACTGTCTGGGCAGATAGCTCAAATGGTGGGTCACAGACCAAGTGGTAGAGTTTAGTCTCTGGTTCTCCCTCTTCCTCTCTGTTTTTCTCTCTCTCCCCTCCCCCTTTTCTTCCTCTTTCTCCAACTCCCCCTCTTTCTCTCCTTCAAATATAATAGTTGCTTTTAAAAAATCAAAACCTAGAGCTGTAGCTTAGTGGTACAGTGGCTGCCTTACAGGCGTGAGGCTGTGGGTTGACTCCTGGCACCGCTCCACATGCTGAGTCTAAGTGGGTCGGCAACATGAGTATATCCCATTTGGGATATCCCGTACGGGATGCTGGGGGGTTGAACCCGGACTGGACATGTGCAGGGCAAACACCATACCTGTTGTACTATCATGCCAGCCCTTTTCTTTTTTTTTCTTCTTTCTCTCAGTTTGTTAAGTCATAAATTTGTATAGAAAGTAAAAGAATCCGTGTAGCCAAACCAATATGAGAGAGAACAATAAAGCTCAGAGACCAAATGCCTTGATTTCAAGAACTTACCTATCTAAATTTGGGTTGGAGTGATAGCACAGCGGTAGGGCGTTTGCCTTGCACGCAGCCGACATGGCTGACCCGAGTTCAATTCCTCCGCCCCTCTCGGAGAGCCCGGCAAGCTACCGAGAGTATCTCGCCCACACGGCAGAGCCTGGCAAGCTACCCGTGATGTATTCGATATGCCAAACACAGTAACAACAAAGTCTCCAATGGAGATGTTACTGGGCCCGCTCGAGCAAATTGATGAACAACGGGAGGACAGTCACAGGACAGTGACCTATCTAAAGTTATGGTAATCAAAAGTGTGGCGCTGACAAAAGCACAGGGACAGCAGTTACTCGAAAGCAGGTCCAGATCCAGGAATTCATTCATAGACAAATGCATGGTGAATTGATTTTGGACAAAGATTCCAAGGCAACTCTGCCACATCTTCAGAAAAAACAATAATGAAAAGTACAAGTGGATAATAGTTCTACATGTAAAGTCTTTATATTTGTGAAGCAAAGACAGTTTTTATTGAGAGAAGTTTAGAGCAGGCTGCGCTTCAAGCCTATGAATATGTATCTCGCTTGCCCGTCTTTGCTTCTTTGCTTGCTCTTTCCACTCAGAAGAAGCCCCTGTTCTCACTTGTATGTCCTCTTAAACATGGGCCTCCTGCATGACCCTTACCCAGTCCCTAAATTGAAAATTTTCAGTTCCAACTTCTGAGGAAAACAGAGGGGCAGACCGCAAATACTTTTGAGCTAGGCAAAGATTTCTCAGTAAGGGACGTAGTAAATAAGAGCCATAAAAGAATACAGTAATTTTTGAAAGGGATGAAGCAGTATTAAAGGACAAGGCATAGTTTAGGAGAAAATATTTATTGTTTCCTGGCAAGCTACCTGTGATGTATTTGATATGCTAAAACACAGTAACAACAAGTCTCACAATGGAGACGTTACTGGGCGCGCTCGAGCAAAATAGATGAACAACGGGAGGACAGTGACAGTGATTTGTTGGGCCACACCTGGTGGTGCTCAGGGCTTACTCCTGGCGGTCTCGGGGAACCATATGGGATGCCAGAGATTGGACAGAGGTTAGCTGTGTGCAATGCAAGTGCCCCCTGCTGTTCTGTCACTCCAGCCTGTAGCACTATCTTTCCATTGTTCATCAATTTGCTCGAGCGGGCACCAGTAATGTCTCCGTTGTGAGACTTGTTACTGTTTTTGGCGTATCAGATATGCCACAGGTAGCTTGCCAGGCTCTTCCATGTGGGCAGGATACTCTCGGTAGCTTGCCAGGCTCTCCGAGAGGGGCGGAGGAATTGAACGCAGGTCTGCCGTGTGCAAGGCAAACGTTCTACTCGCTATGCTCACTCCAGCCTGTAGGAGGGAATATTTATGAAACCCCAATTTGAAAAAAGACTGGAAGAAAATATATAAAGAACTCTCAGTGCCAACTGAATGATACACTTAAATGGGAATACTATGTGGATTACAGTGCATTTTCTTCCCCATAAGGGCTAAGCATGTACTTCTTTATACTTTCCATATGTTTTCTGATCAGTTTCTCTTCTAGTGAGCATTTTTATTTCTTAAAAAGTATTTTGTGTTGATCCATAGAACTGACATCGGATGCTCAAAATATAACTCAGGATCTGCCAAGCAAAAATTCATATGGACTCAAAGGTATGAGTTAGTATTCAATCAAAATTTTCCTTAATTAAGAATCCTGTAACATGCTTTATTATATATTCTGAAATGATCCAGACTAGCTAATAAAATTTGTTAAGTTTTTTGTAATCTATGTAAGTTGTTAATCAGCTTTTGATTATGAAAATGATTAACAGATTGTCTTTCAAAGGGGCCGCAGAACTTTACGTTACTGTTTTCATTTTCCCAACTTGTTAACTTTATGCTGTCTTGGTTTGTTTTTTGGGCTCTGGGCCACACCTAGCAGTATTCAGGATTTATTTCTGGCTCTGTGCTCAGGGATCACTCCTGGCAGGGCTGGGGGACCATAGAAGATGCCTGGGATCAGACCTGGGTCAGCTGTGTGTAACAGGCACCCTGTCTGCTGTACTATTGCTTCAGCCCCAGTTTTTGTAACTCTTATTTTTTTTTATTTTATTTAATTTTTTTTGTTGTTGTACAGGAGAGCAAATTTGGATTAATATATTTCTTTTTTATTTATCTATTTATTTATTTATTGAATCACCGTGGGAAAGGTTACAAAGCTTTCAGGTTTAGGTCTCAGTCATGCAAATATCAAACACATTTCCCTTTACCAATAATTTTTTTTTACCATGAAGAACCCCAATAAAACCCCACCCCCCACCCCTCCCAGTCCCTGTGGGGCAGATGAATTCTAGTTAACACTCTATCTGCTTTGATTAGATTCATTGTTTCAATAAAAGATTTGTAACTCTTATTTTTTGAGGGGCACCAACTGAGAGGTCTTCATGGGGCCTCCTGGCGTAGACCTTTCGGTGTTGAGGCTGGTGAGCAGCATATCACTGAACTTAGGGCTGCGCTTACGCAGGGCACATGATCCACCCTTTGAACGCTCCAAATATTTCTGCTTGCTTTTGCTGATATCATAGTAGGTTAATAGTAAAGTGAACACACAGATTTTCTTTTTCATTTAAAGCTAAAAATAATGTATTAAAAGCTACCCATATGTTTATGTTTGATGTCCAACATTTATAGGACAAAGTGCCTGAATTTCAACAAGCCCCTCTTAAAACACATACACACACACACACACACACACACACACACACACACGTATAAAATTTGGGGCCACACCCAGTGATGCTCAAGTATTACTCCTGGCTCTCCTGGAATCACTTGGGGCGGGGAGGGGCAGCAGTTTTTGGGGACCATAGAGGGTGCTGGGAATGAAATTCAATTAATTCATCCATGTGCTATTTCTCTGGCCCCTGAAATTTAACATTTTAAAAATAGGATTGGGGGGCTGGGGAGATAGTACAGAGGTAAACATACTCGTCCCTGGTAAGATCCCTGGCACTATATATATATATATATATAATCTACTGAGCACTACCAGGAATGACTCCTGAGCACCGCTAATGTGGCTCCAACATCAAAGCAGCAAACAGTGGGATTATGGGATTCAAATGTGACCTTATATTCTTTTGTGTTTCTGGTGTTTTTACTTTTTTTTTTTTTTTGTCCCACCTGGTGGTGTTCAGGGCTTAACTGTGGCTCTGTGCTCAGGGATCTGAGGCAGGGCTTGAGAACTGCTGCGATTCTGGCCATTGAACCTGGGTCAGCCACAGCACCATAGGCATTATACTATTGCTTCAGCCCATAAGGAATTGTGTCCCACACCTGACTATGCTCAGGGGTTATTCCTGTTATTTCTGGCTTTGTACTCAGGGGTCACTCCTGACGGTGCTCAGAGAACCATGTTGTGTGCTGGGAATCAAACCCAGGTCAACTGGCATGCAAGGCAAGCACCCTACCTGCTATACTATCTCGCCAGCCCCAATTATATTTTGACTTAATACCACTGAAATTCATATTTTTTGTAGTAAGGTTTAAAGTAGAGAGTTTTATGTAATGTGTATTTCACTACTTAATAATTAGGGGAGGAAATGTCTTAACCTTTGGGGCACTATTAGTATTTGGACCCACTCCTAGTGTGTTTTGTGGACCAGACCTCATCATGTGATGCTGTGAGGGCCTGATGGGTGGCGGGCTGGGGTGAGAGGTGGCATGCAGTACTGGGGACTGAACTCTGTCCTTCGCATATAAGACATGAGTCCTGAACCCTGAGCTGTGACCCTGGCCCCCACTTTTTTTTTTAAATTTAAGTTCTTTCCTTTATCATTCTGTATGGACTGAACAAACTGTGTGTACCTATTTTACATAAGTAGGCTTAATGCCTAGCTTAGGATTCTATTAGGTGGAACTAATATGAAAAGAATACCTCTCTAAATTCAGTACTTTAGTGATTTACCTCAAATAAGGATTTAAATCAGTTCTTCCATAAATTAAATTTCTTTCAACCTTCCTCCATCACTGGAAATGTTTTCTAATGAAATGTGTTTTTGTTCTGTGCTCGTACTTGGAACTCATTGCAGAATTACCTGGGTATTCTGTTGATTTTTTTTTTGGGGGGGGGTTCAGGGGGGTGGTCCACACCTGGCAATATAATATATTCCTGGCTCTGCACTCAGGGATCATTCTTGACATTGCTTTCGGGGGGACTATATGGCATGCCCCGGATTGAACCCGGGTGGGCCACATGCAAGGCAAAATTCCTTACCTGCTGTACTATCTCCAGTCCCTGGATATTCTTTTGAAACAAAGTCCCTTTTGAGTTTTTGTTTAAAGTTGATGAGGACACATGTAGCAGGGTTTGGGGAGTAGGTGGTCTCTTATTTTTTAAATAAGTAAACTAAATTGCTGGTGCGCGGTACGCTGGGAGGGAGATGATGTTTGACTTTGCAGTTGTAAACTGCCATCCAACTGTTGCGTCTCAACAGGGGCCTGGAAAAGTCCTGTGGAAGAATGGACGACAGAAGACTGGACGGAAGATGTGAGCATCACCCATCTCTCTTTGGGCTTCGGGGCTGGGGGCGTATGGACTTGAAGAAAGCCTAAGACATATTACGGATAGGTTCCATTGACCTGCTCATTCTCAGGCATCTGAGCTTGCCCTGTGTGTCACCATTCATGGCCACGTGCCCCCTGAACCCCCTTCTTTTATTTTAAAGATCTACTTCACTGTCCTCTGAGTTCAACATAAGATAGTCTTAGTTTTTTGTTTGGGGGCCACACCTGTTGCTCGGGCGCTGCTTTCCATTGCTTGGGAGACCACGCGGTGCTGGGGTTGAGCCCGGATCTTCGGCGTGCACAGGGAACATACTAGCCTTGTTAGCTCTCTCTCCTCGACCCCCAACACGAGTTGGGCTTTGAAAGTAAATATTAACCTAAATGAAAAATAACGACGACTAACTCAGTACCATAGTTCATACCTGCACAGTTCAGAAGTGTTTACGTGGTGGTTCCCGCGTACAGGGATGGAGAGGACAGAAGAGTTAGACGTATTGATGGAGAAAACTGCACAGGGTGACCTAGACTTGGGCATTTCCCCTTTTGTGCACTCAAGAAATTTTTTTTGCTTATGCTTTTTTTCCTTTCTTTGGGTTCTCTGCTTAAGGTGAATCCTGAGCATTGCTCCTGAGAATGTTCCTGGTTGTTTATCTTTCCCCAAAACAAACAAACATACTTTCTGGCTAGGCAGAAGAAGGAAGCTACTGATTGAGATTATTTAGTACCATATACTACATACACTAACCATAAGTCCTTCGGGTTTTCTGTCACCTGGCTCTGTATTCCTTGTAAAAGTGTTAGGCCGGACTAGATGAAAGTAATCATTTGTGAGTATCAGTGATACAGGGGACATGAGAGTGAGCAACCCGTAGGTACTTTACCTTACATGAAACAGTGGGCAGTGGGCCAGAATAGACCTTTTGCCAGAGTACAATAACAGATGACTCACACATAAAAATACATCCAGCATTATTGGTTTGCAAATCAAAAAACCACATTCTCACATTTTGAGAATGGCCACAAGTAATGAATTTTTATAGCTTACTATTTTTATTTTTTTGATTCATCGTTAAAAACCTGTTACTTGGTGTCAGTCATACAATGATCCAACATCTATCCCTCCACCAGCGTCCCATTTCCTACCACCTCCCCTCCCCCAGCTGGCCACAACTAATGTTGGTGAGCATGTGGTGAGGAAGGAATCGTAGTCCACTGCTGGGAATGGAAATTGGTGAGGCCTCTGTGGAAAACATATGGATTTCCTGCTTTAAAGATGCAGATACCATAGATCCGGGGATACTCCCTTGCCAGGCATTTATCTGAAGGATATGAAAGCACTAATCTGAAATGACATTCACCTTGTGTTCAGAGCATTCTTCACATTGGCAGGGATCGACACTAAGGCCCATTGACAGGTGACTGGGTAAGGAAGTTGTGTTTACACCATGGAATACTACTCTGCTGATAACAAAAAGGTGACACTGCATAAACTCGATTTCTTAACTCTGCATGATATTTCAGAAGTGAGGGGAACCAGCTCTGCTAAAGTAACTCCAGTGATTGAAATGAACTAACTACATATTGTGCCGAAGTGCCTATTCTATCCTAGTCCAAGGTTTAAAAAAAAAAAAGATCAATCATTTGGAGCAAAATGGATGAAATGTGAGCTATTGCTGAATGCAGTAAGGCAGTGAAAGAATCTGGATAGTTTGACATGTGTTGAAAGCAACTAGTAAAACAAATGAAGTTGGAAAAAAAGGGCCGTAAAATGAACTAGATGAATGAAAACAGAGGGGTGGGGTTGGAAGGAATGGACCTTTTGGGATTTGTTTGGCACGGGAACTTTGTAGTAAAGTAAAAGTAAAAGTAAAGGCCCTCCCGTTGATCATCGATTTGCTCGAGCGGGCCCAGTAACGTCTCCATTGGAGACTTTGTTGTTACTGTGTCTGGCATATCAAATACTCTCGGTAGCTTGCCGGGCTCTCCGAGAGGGGCGGAGGAATCGAACTCGGGTCGGCCATGTTGGCTGCATGCAAGGCAGACGCCCTACCCACTGTGCTATAGGAACAGTAATATTGCACTCAGGTGGGAATGATAAGCTGTACCATTGAAATTGTTACATTGTAAGCTAATGAGAAATCATTTTGAAAGAGTTATTCCTCTTCTCCCTCACCTTGTGGGATATGCAGCGCCTGGAAATTTATTTATTCTAGCTTTTTTGGGGGGTTGGGTCACTCCTGGCAATGCTCAGGGGTAACTCCTGGCTCTGTGCTCAGGAATTAATCCTAGTGGTGCTCGGGGGACCATATGGATGTCAGGGATTGAACCCAGGTCGGCCATGTGCAAGGCAAATGCCTTACCCCTTGTACTATCATTGCAGTCTGGTTTTCAGTTTTCAGAGCTTTTGAAAATCCACGTACCCAAATTAAAACAACAACAAATAGTCATCCTTTTAGTGCTTTGTAGTACTAAAATTTTTTGCTAAGGGTTTGTAGGGGAAACTCCTCACGGGTTAGAAGGTTACTTTTTTCTGTTTTCTGGGTCAGCAGGCAGGTCAGAAAATCAGCAGGGGGTTGATAGGAGAAAGACCTCTGTTCAAATTCTAATTGTTTTGACCTTGGACAAGGTAGCTTTCCTACTTTGCATTTGAACACTGAATGTCATGAAGGCTGGTTGCATGCAGCACAGGGCTTGCTGTATGTCAGACGAGATCTCAGGGTGGCTCAGTGTCTTCTGAAGGCCGCACGGTTGTACACACAGCGGTATTCTGTGGTGTGGGCCTTAGTGCATCTCAGTATGAACCAGCATGAAAAATTGACATCTTTTTATTTAGAGGCAATTTGGGGGAGTGGGGAGTTTTCGGGCCATACCTGGCAATGCTTGGGGGCTTTTCCTGGTTGTCTTCAGAGGTTGTCCCCAGCAGTGCTTGGGGGACCTGAAGTGCTGGACAGGGAAGTGGGGTTGTCTGCCTGCAAGGCATGTGTTTCAGCCCTTGGAGCGATTTCAGCCTGTGTGCCAGGAGGGCTGTATGCGTCTCTGATCATTCTTATTCATAGTTCCTCAGTTTTCACTTTCAAGGCTTTTTGTGTGTTTTAGCTTAATTGGTTCATAAAAAGAGGGGGAGGGGAGGAGAGAGAGAGAGAGGAGAGAGAAGAGAGAGAAGAGTGGAGAGTGGAGAGTGTGCAGGAGGTAAAGGGCTTGCCTTGCTTGCAGCCAGTCAAGGTTTAGTTCCCTAGCAGTGTCAGTGTTCATTTTCTTGCACTATCAGGCCTCGCTCCTGAGCCCAGAACTGGGTATAACCTTGAGTGCCACTGGGTGTGGCCTCTCAGAACCCCAAAACAGCACAGAAGGCCATGAAATATGAAATGATTGAGTAGATCACTGCAGTAAATAATACATCTGTGTGAAAAAAGAAAGACGATTCCTTGACCTGTAGACAATTCTTTGACCTGTTTATATTTCTCTACTCTTGTTGGTTTTTTTATTGGTATTCTTCTTGAGTGTAATGGCAGATAAACTGATGGACTAAGATGTGAAGTCTATTGGATGTCGCTGTGTTACCTCCTGATGGTGGATTTTTGTTGTGGACTTTGCAGTCTAACTCAGATACCCAAACTTCCTTGGCCTGCTGCCTCCTTTTCAAAAATCACTCAGCACCCCCGGAAATATACCTTCTTCAAGCAAACATGAAAAAGTGCCCCAGTTGGATTGGGTGTGCAACTGCCTCCTGAGTGATTCCATTGCCTGTGGGCCACCCACTCTGGGAAACAGGGATCTGAAATTACCTTCCATCTTTTAATAATTAGCATGATCTCTTGTGCTTCCCCTTTAGACTAATGTTTCTCAGTCTTTCCTTGGTCACTGATGTTTCCTTTATTGCTTTTCACTTCACTCTGTATTCTCCTAACTCATGTTGTTGCCTCCCAGTGTTTTGATTTTCACTTGTGGTTCCACTTGGAATAAAATCTTGGACCTCACAGGGGTACCATATGGATCCCACCCTTTGTTAAGAAATGATTAAAAACTTCAGGTGGGGGGTTGCAGAACCACGGTACAGCAGGTAGGGCATTTACCTTGCAGATGACTGATTCGGGTTTGATTCCCAGCATCCCTTTATGGTCCCTGAGTACCACCAGGAGTCATTGCTGAGTGCAGAGCCGGGAGAAACCCAAGAGCATTGCTGGGTGAGGCCCCAAAACCCAAACAAAAAAATTTGTTTAACCTTTTTTTTTTTTTTTTTTTTTTTGCCTTTTGGACAGCATCCTGGTGGTGCTTAGGGATCACTCCTGTGAGGCCCAGGGGAACCATATGGGGTTTTGGGAAATGAAACTGGGACGGCAAGTGTAAAGCAAGTGCCTGCTGCTGTGCTCTCTCGGGCTACTTCACGTAGATGACCTTTTGCCTATCAGAGTACTGGTGCGTAGATAGTGTGAATAATTTTACTTCCCCCTTCCCTTTTTGTTTCTAAAAAGCTTTCTGAAACAAAGGTCTTCACTGCTTCATCTGTTCCAGCGGAGAATCATGTCACACCTGGGCAAAGGTAAATACTCCTGCTACCTTTTGATGTTACTCTAATCGTAATCGCATTTTCTAGCTTTAGTAAACATTCTTGTTTCTCTCTTTTTACCTTTTCCATCTGAGGCTTAATTTTATCCTTGACCTATCTGATAACTGACAGTCCATCATTTCCTAATTGTATCTACTGATAAAATATCAATTGCTATTTGATTTTTGTGGCAGAGATTATGCTACACCTAGTTAATGGTGTTCTTTCTTTTAAAACTTTTTTTAAAATAGATGAACGTAGTACAAATAGCCTGGGTATCTTTATACAAAACTAGTTTTTAAGATCTTCTCAGGCTAATACAAATTTCTTATTTTATATGGACCTGATTAGTTTTAAATTACGGAAAAATTTGACATCTTCATAGATAATACAGGACAGATTTATTTGAAAGAATTTCTTTGCATTTTAGAATAACTTAAACACCTTGATGGTTTTAAAATATGTGGTCTAATAAACATGGCCTGAGAAAAGAAAGCGGTTTGGCACCTAACCTGCGCATTGCGCATTCTCAAGTTGAATGAGATGATTATAAGACTTAATAGGAAATAACACTGATCCAAGGTTATTTCTTGCAATGTATTCTTTAGTGGTTGCTCAGAATTTCTTAATGGAAATATATCTGTTGCTTGAGAATCTGAAAGGACTTTGTTGGAAGTGGACCTCCTGGTGTATTCGGACTCCAGGATACTTGCTGCTCTCCTGTTTTTCCTGTAGCTTACTAACCTGCAGAGTAGAGCTCCCTTTTTCTCTAGGAATGAAACTTGTGAGATGACTTGCATGTAAGGCGCCTGACTGCCTTGGATTTGTGTCCCCGCAGTCCAGCTGTCATCTCGGGATTCAGAATGCTGCTCTGGAACTCCAGCTTGCTTTGAGGGAATCTGGGGATGAGGTGACATAAGGAGAGGAGCTCAGGGCTAGGAACTCGGATTAGGCTTGAGCCTAAATATGGCCTACTGACTATCTGGAGAGTTCCTCTAGGAGAGCCAGCTGGGAACTGATCTTTAGGGAAGTGTGAGGGAACCAACTGCCATGTAAGGGGAGCTGAGTACCGTGTGGGGCCTGTCGAGCAGAGTTACTCGCAGATTCACGTATTAAGTAGCTTACTTATCAGGACCATATTTTCCCCCCTAGACTTTAGACCATTTGTCTCAGCTTGAAATGTTTGCCTTTCTGGGGTGTTTTAAGAGTGCTAGCTAATTAGGTATTTAATATTATTTAATATGCTGTGAATTCCTCTCTCCCCACTCCCATTAAAAACAAATTTCAATGTGATTTTTATACACATGAATATGTTATAGAGTAGAATGCAAAACTTGCAGCAATATTTGCAATAAATATGAAACTGCCGAGTGATCTGTTGTCACCAGGGTTGCCTCACTGCCTAAGAATTTGAATCAGTCCTCTTGGGATCATTGGGTTTCCAGAAATAAGGGGGGTTGGGATGGTCCAAAAGAAAGGAGTCGGACCGGAGAAAGTGGTTTCAGTTTATTTGCTCTAGGTCTTTAGACCTTGTGCCATTTCCATAGAAAGTTCTTGGTGTATCTTTTCGTTTGCAAAGCTCTGCTTCAGTCTCCGTGCCTGTTTGTGTGTATGTGTGTATCCCCTCCATCATACATGATTGATGCCTCCTTTTGGCTTCCTTAAACTCCATTTTTTAAAGTCCCCCCCCCTTATTAGCTAATTTTTAGCATGAATTTACTTTATATTGACTCATCTCTCAGATTCATTTGTTGGTAAGATTTGCTTATGACTCGTTCCTCATTTGCTTTTTGTCTGCTTAGCATTGATCTAGTAGCCTTGCTCCAGAAGCCTGTTCCTCACAGTCAAGCTTCCGAAGTCAACTCCTTTGAAACATCCCAACAAAAGGGCTTTGGCCAAGCCCTTGTCTTCACAAACTCTCAGCACAGCAGTCAGATGGCACCAGGGACTGGCAGCTCCACCGCTGTCAACTCCTATCCTTCTCAGAGTCTGGTAAACTCACTTTTATTTCAGTACGAGAAAAATGTATTCTAGAGTGACACATGACTTACCATTGTTTCCTGAAAGTCAAAACTTGTGCAGTAGATCTCAGGCTGTCCAGAAAACAATGATGCAATAATTTCCAAGCACATATCTGATGATGCCATGTGGAAATAAACTCCTGAGTTTCCTGGACGAAGATCAAACCCCCTGGCTCCCCCCAAAAAATTACGATTAGTTGAAATCTCTTCAGTCATAGTCATCCAGGCATCCTTTTATTAATGAAGTGTTCTTAGATTTCATCTCAAAGTCTGTTATTTTGAAGTTGTTAAATTTTTCATTTGTTTTTGACTTTATTGAAATGCAAATGTTTGTCATTGTTGGCTTGCAAAACCATGCAAAAGCAGTTCTGTCAAATCTGCCACGGTGCTGAAGTTTTGTTTTTAATGATTATTTTGCATTGTTATTTCTAATTTCACCAAATTAAGCTATTTCTTTTGTAAAGTGTCACAATATTGTAGCTGACCCTTATCATTTGGGTGTGTTTTCATTGAATATTTCGCCTGCTGTGTCAGTCAGACACTTATCCTGAGAATTGAGCTGTGAAGATAGGCTGGTGGGACTTAAAGCTTCAGCATAGAAAGTGAAAAAGAATGTAGCTGCAGAATCACCGTGTGGATACCCGTCCAATGAGGCAGCTGCATGGGCAGGGGCTGACGAGGACTGGATACAGGGACCCATCGCATGACTTGGCTTATCCTATACGCGTTTTACCTAAACCTACAGTTGAGAAAAAGTATTTGTGTGGTGCTGGTTTTTGTGCCACACCTGGCTGCTCAGGGCTCTCTCCTGCTCTGTGCTCAGGGATCATCCCTGGCGGGACTTGGAGGACCATGGGGTTGTCGGGGATTGCACTTGGGTGGGCTCCAAGAAAAGGGATTTCTTGTGGCTGGATTTTGCTCCCTTCCTTTTGCTGTACCCTGATACGATGGGGAAACATCCGTTCGGTTATGCCGTGGCTGTCTTCACCCTGCGCACCCAGGCTGTGTTAAGCGTGGCTGTCTTAGGGACTTGGCGGTTCTGATCTGGATGGACTGTTGGGGTCGGTGTCAGTGCTCGAGGCTGCGTTTAGTCCAGGCGTGATGCCCTCTCTTTCTCAAGAGAGCATGACAAGCCCTGTGAGTTTGACATCAGCTTTTGTGGCTATCCATGCCCTTCTGCATCTTTCTTCCTGTGGCTGGTCACTGAGGTCATGCCTTGTAGACCTGCTGGAGTCTTGGCTAAGCCCCTCAGAGCATCCATGGGACCTGAGGTTTTTTATTATTATTATTATTATTATTATTATTATTATTATTATTATTTTAAACCAGTGACCTTCAGGTGTGTTGCTTTTCATCAGAAATGCCTTGGACAAGCTATTCACCTGAACTGTGCTCCCCTGCCACCTCTCCTTCAAGAAAATAATAAACCCACCCAAAAAATCCACCAAACACAAAACCTCCCTAAGAGGCTGGTGTGAGAAGTGCTTGTTTAGTACATGGAGCAGTAGCACCCAATCCAAGTGTGCCGTTACAATCAGTGTGGGGAGCTTTAGTTAGAGTCACAGTGAGGATAAAATAATACGAAGTCTATAGAAGACCAAATCAGACGGCCTGGGATTTGGACCTATGTGCGTCACTTTATGCACTGTGTATTCTAAGACACATGTTTTCATTGACTGAAACTCACAGACGGTAGCGGGAAGCTTTATGTAAAGTGGCTTGTCTTTTTGTTTTTTGTACCACACTCGACAGTGCTCAAAGTCCACTCCTAGCTCTGGTCAGGGGGGTTGCTCACAGTGGGGCTCAGGGGACCCTGTGGTACTGGGCAGGTGCCTTCATCCAGGCATCCTCGGTCATCTCTGCTCAGTACTAGCCTGGGCCAAGGTGGTGGTTGCTGACTCGGGGATTTCTTTGTGTTGAAAGCACACAGCGCGTGTCCTTGATTAAAACTAAGTAAAAATAAAAGCAGGATGGAGCTAATAGAGGAAAAGACCAGAAGAGAATGACCAGTGAGACCTTTGAAGAGTAAGCCGGCTTGACTGGCTTTGAGTGGATCTGTGGGTAGGTGAGCAGGCGAGGTTCCTGGGCACCGAGAGCAAAGTTCCCAGAGTGAAGCTGGCACAGGTTTGTGATTTGGAGGCAGGATCTCCCCACAACCCCACGTTTGCACATACTGGAGAGAATTCAGATTTTGTTTTTTTGAGAACAACTGAATACTCTCGGCTTTGATAATGGCGATAGTATTTATTCCAACGTTGTGGCTCTGACCTGTTGAGGAAATAGGTCATTTCTGGTTCTGACTTAATGGGATTTTTCTGGAGAGTCATGAATGTGTGTGATACCAGGAACCGACCTCACTCATGGCCAGCACAGTGCCTCTGAGCTGCCTCTCCCAACACCTGCCAAGTTTCTTTTGACAAAGAACTTACCTTTCCAGGATTCAGTGACTTGAGCATGTAAAAAGCAGTTGATCTGCACAAACAGGTAGTTGTAGGCCTGTCTTCTCTTTATCTTGCTCTGTTGTGACGGTATTAGCTGGGGCAGTAGTCATCACCTTTGGTCTGCTTATGTAAGGGATAAAACATTTTACATCAGTCCTGTTTTTGTTTTTGTGTCCCCCCCCCCTTTTTTTTTTTGCTACACCCTGTGATGCTCAGGCTTTGTCCTGGTTCTGTGCTCAGGGATCACTCCTGGCAGGGCTCAGGAGAACATCTGGGGGGTTGGGGATCACATCTGGGTTGGCTGCTTGCAAGACAAGCAACACTACCCTCTGTCCTATCGCTTTGGCCCCTAGTAGGTCCTGTTCTAATCAGCATGATCTCTTTTGTGATTTGTTGATCTATTAGGTGATGGTACAGGCTACTGCCCAGTTAGGCTCTTTACACAGAGCTCCTGGGATTGCTCACTTCCTACTTGTAAGGCAACAAAGCACTTGAAGCCTTTTCCCTAGGTGTCACAGGACCCATTCCAACCATCAGAGATGTCGCTGTTTCACACAGAGAAATGCTGGTTCTTAAGCCATTATTTATTGCATGTTATTCCTTCTGTCGTTTAAAAAGAGGGTAGCATTATGATTTTGAACTAGGGACATGGTAAAATCAAACTGATTTCTTAAAGGTCAGGGAAAAGTTACCCCTTTCCTTTACTTACCGAAGGATTGCTGGGTTTACTTAGTCAGTTCATCTTATGGGCCCTTCCTGGCGGTGCTTGGGACCAGACGATGCCAGGAATCAGAATGTTGTTGAGTGTGTGCAAGGCAAGGTCCTTAACCACTGTACTATCTGGTCCCCGCAGTTATTTTCATTTAGCATTTACTCAGGTGGTCTTTGCTAATTCACATAGGCTTACAGTTTGTTAAAAAAAAATCCTTATTGAAATGCCTGGTGTGTTTTAAAGCCTGGGATAGAAAAATCTGTAATGCTGAGGAATTTTCTTGTCTTTTCTTTTAAAGTCGTCCGTCCTCGGTTCAGGATTTGGAGAGCTCACGCCTTCGGAAATGGCCAAAATCACCAACTCCCAGATTCTGGACCAGTTGAAAGCTCCGAGTTTGGGCCAGTTTACCACCACCCCCAATTCACCACAGAACAGTTCAAGCCCCGCCACGACCACTTCTTCTTGGGACCTCAAAGCCTCCGCCTCCCAGTCTTCAGTCCTGAATCATTTTGGTGAGTGCCTCCTCTGTGTCTGAGAGAAAGCGCCGGACACGAACCTGTGAGTGCATACGGCGCTTGGTCAGGGAGGTTTCCTTCGTGAGTGAATGCTTGTGGAGTGTCTGAGTACAGTCAGCTCTGTCTGTCTGTCCCCTCCTCTCGCTGAGCCGCATCCCCATCTTCTCACTTTGCTCCGTATTGTATAATGGACCTCACTGGATATTATCACTGCCATGATGGTAATTTTTGCTTTGCAGAAGATATGGTAAAGCAGGGACCAGAGTGATAGTACGGTGGGTGGGGCAACTGGTCTTGAACACGGCCGACCCATGTTCGATCCCTGGCATCCCATGTGATCCCTAAATTCTGAGCACTGCCAGGTGTGGTCCACAAACAAAACAAACTAAAAAGAAAGTTTAATGAAGTTACCCAAATAATAGGGACACACACTTGCTGGTGGGAAATTTTTTTTCTTTTCCTTCTTTTTTCTTTTTTAGCTCTGTCAGAATTGGGTGGTGTGCACAGCATTTTTAGCCAAACCCTCTGGTATTTATCTGGTTGCTTTCTTCTAATAGTTCATGCATGCACCATGATTTAGTCCAGTCATACTCTCTATGGTTTGTGATTTGAAGGCACCATCCGTATAACTTGGTTGTTTTCTAAACTATCTTACTATAGGCATATGGCCTTAAAGGGCCATGTTTCATCAACCTAGCCAGGCTAGACTGTAGTGAGGAGGAGCAGGGGGTTTCTTTAAACAGAGTTAACACTCTGGACTGCTTATAATTAGGGCAGGGAAAGTTTTCTCAGCTAAATGAAATGACTTACAGTGTCGAAGGTATCACTGTTACTGAGTACTTAATGTCTGGAGTTTAAAAGAACTTAATTTTTGACATTTTTATTTGAGGCGAGGGAGCATACTCGATGGTGCATAGGGGTTACTTCCCAGCGTGTTCGGGGAACTCTATGATCTGGTATTGAACTCTGGCCTCCTGCTTGTAAAGCCTGATCTCTCTCTTTCTGCCTCAGAGTTCCTATTTTTTTATTTCCCAGTGGTGATTATGTATATGCACGGTCGGTGCATGCTAAAGGCAGCTGCAGATTTCGGCAGACACCTGAGTGTGTGAATGCTGTGGGCAGCAAGACTTTCACCAATTTTTTGTATCAGCAGTTTAGAACCTCTCTCAGTTGAAGTGGCAGTTAACTTTTCCTGGGACCGGCAGGAAGTCCTGGGGACTGTCCCCACTCTGGCCCGGCAGTCGCATACTCCTGAATTGGAGCGTGGGCATCCTTTGCCTGCAGTGTACTAGCACGCCACAACCCCAGGCTCTGGCCAGGGTCACTGTCCCCAGCAGCTCTGAGCACCCAGTGGTGACTCTTTTCTGTCCACATACTAACGAATGATGAAATTCCGACCATCCTTTACCCGGGCCCACCATATGTTATATAGGAACATGGGCAAATCACTTACTGTCTGATTTGTTGTGTCTACAGAGTTTTGAGCCTTTGCTAACAGATGTACTTCAAAAATTGTAATATTAAGTAGCTGACTCTTTAGACCAGAAGGTTTCCAAGTCTTGTACTTTTGTTGTTTGTTTTTGTTTTGGAGGTCATACTTAGCGTAGTGCTCAGGAGCCAGGGTACAGTGCTTGGCGTCATTTATGGCAGTTCAAAGGGACCATATGATGCCTGAAATGAAATCCAGGCCTCCTGCTTGCAAAGCATTTGCACTTACTCTGTCCTGCCCCCGAGTCCCCCTTTCCGTGAGATGCAGCATTTCATATCCGTGAAACGTGTCCTATTACTATACTGGCTAATGAGGGAAGTTGGACCAGTAATACCCATTCTGTGCCAGTGTACCAGGTGAATCTAGAAATTGTGAAAGTAGAATAATTTTCTGAGGGTGGAGCGTTCTAGTTATAATAGGAAATACCATAATCAAAACATAATCAAAACAAAAAAATACTAGAAAATATTTTTAAAAATCACGTCAGAGATAGAGCCAGCCAACCAGCCTCCTTAATATAAAGTAAGTAAAACTCCAGGAACCTGCCAGTGGCCACAAACCTGTCAGCACAGGTCAGGATAGTGTGGCCAGGGCTCACGGGCCAAGCTTAACTGGGCTTTCACTAATTTGCATCCTTGAGACCATTTTCCACCAAAGTAGGAGAGGTCAGAGTTTGCTATTAGAGCCTCTTAAAGATTATGCATGCTCTCTGAGTAGGAGCTTTGAAGTGTTTGTTAGAAATGAAAATGCAGTTTGTTCCGTGAACAAGATATTTGTTATGTTTGATCCTGCAGGTGGGTACATTTGAACTTGAGCGTAATATCTTAGCTAAAATGTTCACTGCCAGCACTCCCCCCCCTTAAAAAAAAAAAAGCGAGATTATAAAATTTAAAAGCCCATTAATATAGAACTGTTATTTTGTTTTGTTTTTCTTTTGATTTTTGGGTCACACCCAGCAGTGCTCAGGGGTCACTCCTGGTTCTGCACTCAGGGATTGCTCCTGGCAGTGCTTGTGGGTCCATATGGGATGCCAGGTTTCAAACCTGGGTCAGCTGTGTGCAAAGCCAAGTGCCTGACCGCTGTACTATCTCTCTGGCCTGAGTACTGATCTTGTATTTATTTCTTCTCTTGGCTTTGGGGCCACACCTGGTGATGCTGAGGGGTCGCTCCTGACTCTGAACTTAGGGATCACTCCTGTTGGTGCTCAGGGGACCATACAGGGTGCTGGGGATCGAACCTGGATTGGCTGTGTACTAGACAAGTGCCCTGCTAGCTGTATTATCTATCACTCTGGCCCCCATGATTTTTTTTTCCTCCACCCTTTATTTATTTATTTTAAAATTTTTATTAGTGAAACACCATGAGGTACAGTTGTAGACTTACAAATTTATAGCACAGCGGTAGGGCATTTGCCTTGCACACAGCCAACATGGCCGACTCGAGTTCGATTCCTCCGTCCCTCTCGGAGAGCCTGGCAAGCTACCAGGAGTATCTCACCCGCACGGCAGAGCCTGGCAAGCTACCCGTGACGTACTCGATATGCCAAACACCGTAACAACAAGTCTCATGATGGAGACGTTGCTGGGCCCGCTCGAGCAAATTGATGAACAACGGGAGGACTGTGACCGTGACCGAGGGTTTCAGTTATACAATGATCGGATACCCATTCCTCCATCAGTGCCCATTCTCCACCCCCCCACTGATCCCAGTATCCCTCCCACCCCCATCCCCCCACCCCACCCTTGATTTCACTCTTTAAAGCCAGTAACCTCTTCTGAGTAGGGTCGATTGTTCTTTTTTTTTTTTTTTATTGAACCACTGTGGGAAAAGTTACAAAGCTTTCAGGCTTAAGTCATGCAAAGATCAAACACATTTCCCTTTACCAATACTTATTTTTCACCAAGAAGAACCCCAAGAACCCCCCCCCCCCCAACCCTCCCAATGCCTGTTAACTAGATGAATTCTAGTTAACACTCTAGTTAATACTACTAGCTGTATTGTCGCTCTGGCCCCCATGGTCTTTTAAAACAACCCTTCACTTGGATTCTTATGGCTTATGGAAGGGGGCAGCTTCTGGGCTTGGGGCAACATCTCAGGGTTGGAGCACGTGCCTTGTGTGCCCAGGGGCCGTGGCGCATGCAACTGTCGGGGCCAAAGGTTGCTGGCATGGACCTAGGCATCGGCCCCTGCGTTCCCGAGCACTGCTGGGGAGATCCCCCTCCCCACCCCAGTAAATCTGGAAGCCAGGTGCTTTGTAAGGAAGCTCGGGGACACGGGGCTGGGTGTGACATGGCACCGAGGCAGTTCACAGAGAGAAGCACGGGCTTTGTGTGCTGGGGCCGTGCTTGGTCCCCAGCACCATGTGGCTCTCCCACCCCCACCGGTAAGTAGGAACAGGTAGATGCAGAGCACGAAGGCTGGTGGCTCTGCGGTGTGAGTGTGGGGGCAGTGTGGAGGGTGACCTTACTCTGTAGGCTCTAGCTGGCGGCACCCAGGGGCTCTGTTGCTGTCTCTCCTGGTGCAGGGCCCCAGCTGAGGTCAGAGGGGTGTGTCCCCTGGACCGTGTGTCCAGGCCCTGCGTTTGGGGGATTTATAGTGTCTCGAGTACAAGAGCAGAGGGCAGGGCCAGAGGGCCAGTAGGGCAGGGGCGGCCCTCGCCTCGCAAGCCGCTGACCGAGTTCCGTTCCCCGCCATGTCTGTGGGCCTGCAGCGTGCCAGGAGCCATCCCTGTGTTCACAGCCGGCAGTGGCCCAAGCAGACAAGAGCTGAGATGAGTTTCAGAAATGTGGCAGCTGGGCTCGGTGTCCCCCCTTCGGTGTGTGACGCGCGGGAGGTCCCCCGACCTGCATGTCGGTCACCCCCGCCCTGTTGTTGACAGACTTCAAGTCTCAGCCTGAGCCGTCCCCCGTTCTCAGCCAGCTGAGCCAGCGGCAGCAGCACCCGACACCAGCGGTCACTGGCCCTCCTCCTGGGCTGGAGTCCTTCCCGCCCCAGGCGAAGCTCCGAGAGGCGGCCCCCCACGACAGGCCCTCCACTGTGAACAAGATCCTGCGGCTCCCCGCCATGGCCGTGGGCAACATGGCTGTCTCCCCCCACCCACCGCCGCCCAAGCACATCAAGCTCCCGAAGCGGCGGCTGCCTCCCACCTCGAAGGTTGGTCTCCCCCTGGGGCGGGGGGCATGGCTGGACTCCCCACTGGGAAGGGGGACACGGCCAGACACCCCGCTGGGGAAGGAGGACACGACCCGACACCCCACCAGGAAGGGGGGGACATGGCCAGACACCCCGCTGGGGAGGGGTCTTGGCCAGACACCCCGCTGTGTGTGGAGCTTGTGAGTCTGACAACTCCGTGCTGCTTAGGCCTGTCAGCTTCCCGGGCCAGGGCTAGGGAATGGGAACTGGTCAGATATGGCCTAGGGCCTGATGTGGCCTAGGGCATTGGGCTATGTTCCACAGTCAAGGTGAGCACTCTCATTTTGACCAGGACCCATAGCCCCATTGTTCTTGAAGGAGTAGGTTGGGGGGGGGAGGGGAAGGGCACGGCACAGCCGGCCACACACAGGCTCACTCCAGGCTCTGTGCACAGGCATCATTCATGGTGGAGCTCTGGAAGCCACAAGGGTGCAGAGGGTCGAGCTCATGTCCAGGGCATGAAAGGCTAACACCCTCATTACTGGACTCTCTGACCCTCTTCTTTTAACTTTTAATTTTACTTTGATCTTTTGTCCTTTCTCGCTCTTAAAAGTCATATCTGGGACTGGAGCGATAGTACAACGAGTAGGGCATTTGTCTTGCACATGGCTGGCCCAGGTTCGATTCCCAGCATCCCATATGATCCCCCGAGCACCGCCAGGAGTAATTCCTGAATGCATGAGTCAGGAGTAACCCCTGTGCATCACCAGGTGGGACCCAAAAAGGAAAGTCATACCCTTTTGCCTTCCTTTCGGCTTCCTTTCCTTTCCCCCAGACTGCCCTGCCACTCACTAGTGCCTGGGTCAGTCGCTGGCCATTGTCCCTGAAGTTCTTTTCTTTTCCAGATCCCGGCTTCTGCTGTCGAAATGCCTGGCTCAGCAGATGTCACTGGGTTAAATGTACAGTTTGGTGCCCTGGAATTTGGATCAGAAACTTCTCTCGCTGAATTTGGATCAGCAGCCAGTAGTGAAAACAGTAGCCAGATTCCCATCAGCTTGTATTCAAAGTCTTTAAGGTACACAATTGCTCACTTTTTTCCACTGGACAAAGTAAAACAAAATGGAACCTACAGACTCACAACGGGTTCGTGCAGGTTCCTCACCTGGCTAGTTTTGCCACTTTTCTCCCACCACCCTGCCAGAAGCCGTGCCTGCCAGTTCCCTCCCCCCCGCCGCCCCCCCCCCCCCCCCCCCCCCCCGCGCCCAGTCCTTTGTCTGTCCGTCCTGACCATGGCGCCTACCTGGGTACACGTGGTAGGTGCTCCTGTGCGTCTGACTCCTCCTGCCAGAGAGCCCTCCCCGCCCCTCCCGTGTGGCATGCACCCGTGTCCTCTTCGAATGCCATCATGCACACATGGCGCCTTTGTGTCCCCTCGTTAACGGAGGGACACATGATGTTTCGATTCCTGCTCCCGGGAATGTTGGGTGCCAGGTGCTTCCCAACCTTTGCGGGTGACAATCCAGGTTGTCTTATTTTCTCCCTAGTGGCCCGGGAACCTAAGATTTGCTCTGGGGTGGCCCTCTCCCCGACACGGCTGTCGGCACACCTGGTGTCTGGTGTGGTGGTGCCTGAGAGGTGTCATTGCTGACACTGCCGTTCAGTGGGAGATCTGCTTAGTAAAGGTACAAAAGAAATCTGTGATCAGATTTTTTTAGGGGCCACATGGCTGCCATGCCAGGGGCCACTGGCAGCACTCTGGGGCCTTGCCTGGGCTTGACCTCCAGTCTGGGCTGGGCATGTGCCCTGCCACGTCGAGCCATAGTCCTGGGTTTATATGATTGTATGTATTCTTTTCCCACTGTTCAAAGCCCAAACTTGGTATTTTGTGTAGGCCTTTACTTTTTTTTTTAAGTGTGTGTTTGTGTCTGTGTGTGTGTGTGTGTGTGTGAGAGAGAGAGAGAGAGAGAGAGAGAGAGAAGCTACTGTTAACAGTATTGCAAGCCACACTATCTGAGTCCACGCAAATCTTTTTTTAAAAGAGAGTAAGGCAAAATAATCTGAAAAACCTCTAGCAAATAAATCAGTGGGGGTGGAGGCCCCCCTAGTGGTGCTTTGTCCAGGTTGTTCCTGATGGTCTCAGGAGATGTGATGGGTATTGATCTGGGTTTTGTTTTTTCTATATTGGTGAAAGGGGGTGGGGGGCACACCCACTGGGCTCAGGGCTTATTCCTGAATCAGGGGCATCCTTGGTGGTGCTGGGGCTTGAAATCGGGTTGGCCACGAGCAGGGCAAGTGACTGACCTGCTGTAGCATCTCTCCAGCCCTGAGCCCCCAGCCCTTCTCGGTCTCCTTCCTCGGACACGGCTCGGCCCTCTGTGTTCTTCCTCTTTTTCTCTTTCAGCTCATGGCCCAGCCCCTTGTGTTGCTACCACTGCCTGGAACTGCACATACATGGTTGTGATGCTCACATGCTCGGTGCAGCTAGAATCACACCTTATTGTGGCCCTGGGGGCCCTAGAGGGGTGGTGCTCAGTGCCGTGGGGTGGGGGCTGTGCTGGGGTCCAGCTCTCCACCTTCTGAGGCAGGTGCTTGGGCCTGTTTGTGTTGGGAGTGGGGGTTGGGCCACACCTGGCGATTGTTAGGGGATATTTCTGGCTCTGTGCTCGGTAACCACTCCTGTTTGGGGTTCCAGGAATTGAACCCAGGTCAGCCATATGCAAAGAGCCTTCCCCCTCTATGATATGGATCATATTTTGTGGGGTGGAGATTGCTTTGAATTTTTTAAAAATTGTCTTTACTCCATTTAGTGGTTTATATTTTATAATTTTTTTTAAAAAAACAATTTAGATCAAGAGACCAAAGTTCTGTTTCATGAAGCCATATAAAATGGCTCCAGTGTGTGCCTTTTTCCTCCTTAGTGATTCTTTGAACACCTCGACACCAATGACCAGCGCAGTGCAGAGCTCCACCTGCACGACCCCCGTCATCACCCCATCCAGTGTGGCCGGCAGCTCCGCCAACGCCTCCTCCACCTACAGCCCGAGCCCTGTGCCCAGCAGGGTCCCGTGCCAAAGCGCCATGAGTCCAGCCGAGGCCGTGTCGGGGGCCGTCACGGTGAGTGGGGTTCCTGGGCCTTCTCTCAAGTAGAACTCTGGTAGGGACTGGGGGATCAGTCCAGTGAGCGGGGCGCTTGCCTTGCACGCAACTGGCCCGGGTTCGATCCCGGTAGCCCATATTCCTGATTGTTTCATTGTTCCCTATGGTATCCTTGGCCCTTCCCTGCATACCCAGAAGGTTTCCAGTAATGTCGGTATCTTGTGATCTATTAAAAATATGAAGATGCATTACATCTCTCATTGAAGAGTGAAATAAAATAGGCTAACAGTCCTCGTTCAATGTTGTGGTTCATAGTTTTGTGACGGAAGTGCAATATAAAATCATTGAGGCTGCCATTTCTTTGATTTTTGTGGGTTTGCTATTTTTTCTTCTAGAATGGACATGTTGGTAGTCGAAGTCAGCCAACACTAGACAGTAAGTACAATCAGTTAACTTCCTTTGCATGGCTGATCAGAATCAAACCAAAAGTCTTCTGCAAAAATACCCTTGTTTCACCTGCCCCCATTGCTCTGATAACTTTTTGATTTTAGTTTTGTTTTGTGACCACACCTGGCTGTGCCCTTGACTCTGCACTCAGTGCTCACCTCCGGTGGGGCTCAGGGACCGTATGTGGTATTGGGGATCCAACTTGGGACAGCTGTGAGCAAGATAAGCACTTTAAACACTACTCTCTGGCCCCATTTTTAAGCTTGGGGCCACACGTGGCTGTTCTTGGGGGACCGTGAGGTGCCTCTGGCCCTTGAGCTGTGGGCGGGGGGCCTCCCACGTCATGTGTTTTGCCCATCGCTCCCTCAGGAGTCCTGGCAGAGAGCAAAGGTTCATTCTGCTTCCTTACTGGGAAAGACAATGATGCCTTCTTTCCAAGCACATATCTGAAATGTATGTGTGGACAACGTTAAACTGAGTCTTCCCTGAAGTAAGGAAGGAGTGCTTGCATCCGTGTCCCTGGGAAAGCTCAGTTGGTCTGTTCTGGCCAGGCTCTGAGCTCCCCCTTCCTGCCAGAAAGGGGTGACGGGCGTGTTCTTCCCCACCCATCTGAGGCAACTTTTAACTCCAGGGTACAGGGACTGAGGCTTCTCAGCCCTCTTAGGCCCTCTGTGGGCCCCACCTGCTCATCTAGTCCCCCGTTTGCTCCTGCTTTTGTTCTGTTGTTTTGGGGCCACCCCCAGCGGGGTTCAGGGCTCACTACCTGCTGTAACCTTGTCTGTGGGGGGCGCTGCCCCACGCAGCCCCAGGGTTCCGACCACTGGAGCAGGTTGCTTCCAGGTGCTGGATGTGACGGAGAAAGAACTCTGGTAACTTTGCCGGGCATTTCCCCAGCTGGATCTGAAATATCCCGGATGCTGAGCAGCTTCGGGGGACTCTGCATCGGCTCCGTGGTGAACAGATTCATTTCTTCCAGCAGCTTCGTCCGTTCCAGCCCCCAAGGTGACGGAGCCTCCCTCCGCCCTGGCCTCCGTGGGCTCCCTGCCCAGCACCACCTCCTGCAGTTCCCTCCTGCCCTCCGCAGCCCCGCACACGGCCACTTTGCCCTCCCTGTCCCAGCCGGGCGACCTGTCCAGCGGCCCCCTCTCCCAGCTCAGCAGGTACGGGGTGTTGTGGGCGCCCCATGCGGGGGCTTCCAGACCAGGGCCACAGGGGGTTGGGTGGTGGGCCAGGAGCACGCAGCACAGAGCATCCTTCAGGTGTCTGCTGTCCTTCCCGCAGAGGGCGTTCGTGTCCCGCACCTGGGTTCCTCTCAGCACTGCACTCACCCCGTTTCAGAAATTCCCAGGTCACTAACAGCACGTAGGAAAACAGGGTCACGCCTAAGAAAATCTGGCCCTGTGTCTTCCGCGTGCTGGGTTTCCCCCGCCACAGCAGGAGCGGGTGTGTGTCATTCACACACACCGCTGGGTTTGCTGGGGATTCGGGTTCTGATGGTGGCGTGGGAGGTCGGACTCAGGAAGCGCCTTCCCGTGGCTCGGGGGCGGGGGGTCGGCAGAGAGATCCCTGGCGTCGCTTACTACAGTCAAAAGAGCGAGTGGTGGTTGACCGAGGCTGGCTCTGGAGAAGGTGTTTCCAGGCCTCGGTGAAGGGATCCTCATGGCAAGTAGCCCTCCGTGCCCTTTCTGCCTGTCAGAACGCCCAGGGTCCAGGCAGTCCAAGAAACCATGACAGGCTGAGGCTTCCCTGGGAGGCTGGGGGTGCTTCCCACAATCCTCCCGGGTCCCCAGAGCGCTGGACGGGGCAGGCCGTGACGCTGTCTCGTCTCCTTCCCCCTGCAGCCACCAGAGCAGCCTCTCGTCCAGCACGGCGCACACTGTGAGTGTCCTGGGGCGCGGCTGCGGGCGCGCGTGGGTGTGGGCGGCCCGAGCTGGCCTCCAGATGCGGGGTGCGGGGCTGTGGTTCACAGCCACCACGGAGGACGTCCTTCTTGCTGCCGTCCATACCTGCAGACTTGGGTGTGGTGGCAGGGCTGTGAGAGGTGGTGAGTTGGCTCAGCAGTTCCCGGGAGCCAGCCACGTGGCCTCGTGGTGGCAGCCTCTGCCTGTGTGAGGCTCAGGGTTGGAGGGAAGAAGCGCCAGGGCTGTACTAGTGCATGCCTGGGCTTGGCTTGTACTCGGCCGGCCCGGGTTGGATCCCTGGCACCACATAACTGCCAGGAGTGATTCCTGAGTGCAGAGTCAGGACTGAGCCCTCAGCACTGCCGAACTTAGCCTTAAAACAACAACAACAACACCAACAACACAGTTGAGCAGGCTCTGTACCTAAGGGAGACTCTCCTCCCTTGCTGGGGCAGCTTTAGATTTTCAGGCATTTGCAAACTTCATAGAGGAAGGTTCATTCTCTGCTGCCTCAAGCCATGGCTCTGCTGAAAACACGTGTCCCCACACTTAGATGAGCCTCAGGAGGGCTTACTGCCATGAAAATGAGATGGGGGCGCCATGGGAGGGTCTGTCCGTGATGCCCTGGCCCTTGGGAAGTCAACAGAAGCATTTGCCTGTGGCATTGGGGCTGTCTGCCCACCACATTCTCGAGGAAACACATCTGGGCCAGGTTCTCAGGCCCCACCTTAGAGCAGGGGCTCGTTTCTCTGGTGGTCAGAGCCAGGTGTGAGGGCAGCGCTGTGCCTGTCCCACAGGTTGTTTGCTGGACTGTGGGTCGTGGGCAGCCTCCTGCTGCTCTCCACTGGGCCCCAGCTTTTCGCTGAATGCTTTGGACCGGGAGACCCTGAAGCCAGGGCTCATGGGGTGGGACCCGGCCCAGTCTTGGGGGGGGGGGGGGGGGAGACACACCTGCCAGTTCCCAGCTCCTCTCAGGGTTTTCATTGTTTCTGGTTCTTTTTTATTTTTTCTATTTTTTTCCTTTTTCCTTTTTGGGCCAACCCAGCGATGCTCAGAGGTTACTTCTGATTCTGCACTCAGGAATCGCTCCTGGTGATGCTTGGGGAACCATATGGGATGCTGGGGATCGAACCCGACTTGGCCTTGTGCGAGGCAAACACCTTCTGTGCTGTCGCTCCAGACCCTGCTCTTCAGGGCTTGTGACCCCCCGTTTCCCCATGGGTTTCTGGGCTGCCCCTTGGTTCACACACTGTGCCCAGAGATCCCTGTCTCTCCCTTCTGGGGCTCTGGTGCTGGGTCCCCCAGCCCGGCCTGGGCATGTCCCCGTGGAGGCCTGATTGTGCCCCTTAAGAATTCAAGTGTCTTGTATCGCCCCTGGAGATCCTCTTCACGTAAAGGCAGCACCCCTAGTCACACGAAGGCCCTTCTTATCGCGGCTGCCAAGTCGTTCCCCTACACCTGCTTTGCTCCCTGAGGCCCACCCATGACCCCAGCTCCTCGGGCTCCTGACAGGCCTGGCTTGGCTCTGCGGCAGCCTCACCCCTGCCCTGGCCTTCTCCGTTCTGAGCTAAGGTTTGCTTGGGCAGCAGGGGGAGCGCGGGGCTTAGAGGTTGCTCTGCCCAGCTTTGTCGAGACACCCCTGAGCCTTAGGCTCGGTTCTGGGGGTCCAAGTTGGCTGCAGTGTGAGACACCTCTGAGCCTCACCAGAAGGAGCTGCAGGTCTGGGGTCCCGCGGTTCCCTGTCATTGCCCCCCCCTCCCCCCCCCCCCCCCGCGTCAGTGCTTGCCCCAGAGCTGCTGTCCCTTGGCTCCACAGCACGCCAGCGTGGAGAGCGCCTCCGCCCTGCAGCCCACCGCCACCTTCTCCACGGCTGCCACCTCTGCCTCAAGCGCCACCTCCGCGGGGCTCAGCCTGCCCAGCAGCGTCAGCGCCAACAGCATCTGCCTGGGGGGGCCCCCCGGGGGGGCCCCAAGCAGCAGTGCCAGGGCCACGCCCCTGGTGACCTCAGGTGGGTGAGTTTGTTCTTCCTGCCGGCCTGCTGCCCGAGGCTGCTCCCGAGGGCAGTGCAGGCCCAGCCAGCGTGGTTGGGGCAGGTGGGGCTCGCCACTGGTCAGCGGGCCCGTGTCGGGTCCCCTGTGCCAGGCACGTGACTGTGTGTCTCTGCTTCCTCAGGCAAAGCGCCCCCCAACTTGCCTCAGGGGGTGCCACCACTGCTGCATAACCAGTACCTGGTGGGTCCTGGAGGGCTGCTCCCTGCCTATCCGGTGAGCCTCTCGGCTATCTGTGCCCCTCCCCCCGCCCCCACAGCGTGCCTGGGCTCCCCTGAGAGCTTGATGGTCCTGACCCCATTTTGGTGCCCCCACAGATCTACGGCTATGACGAGCTCCAGATGCTGCAGTCCCGGCTGCCAGTGGTGAGGAGGGTGTGGTGGGTGGCATCTGTGGGGCCCTCTGCCTGGGGACCCCCTTCGGCATCCCTCTGAGGAAGCTGCTTCTCGTTTGGTGGCTGTGCCAGGCGCATCCTGGGGCACCAGAAGAACCGTAGAATCGGGGTCCCATCAGGCCGCGTTTGTGGGCGGCCCCCTAGTCTCTCACATGCCCGAGAGCAGGACGAAGCCCACATGCCGAAGCCTGAGAGCAGGACGGGGTCCCGGGAACCCCCGCTCTGAACACCCTTCCCTTCACACGGGCTCCCAGGCTGGGAGGGCAGCACTGCAGGCCTGCCGTGGAAGGAGCCCGTGCCCCCCAGATTCCTAGGGCGTGCTGGGGTGGGCACAGCAGAGCTTGGCCTCTGGAGATGCTGAGCCATACTGCTTCGGGCGGGAATTCAGTGGCCCTGGTCCTTCAGAGGCAGAGGAGGATATCCGTATTCTTGTTTTTGCTGTCCAGGGCATCAAAAGTGGCTGAGTAGGATCCCAGCTGTGGGTGCTCCCTGGTCACTGTCTCTAGACAGCCCAGCGCCTCCTCCCTCCCTGGCCCTCCTCGCTCCGGGTTTTCCTCCTGTGGAAGAGCTCCCCCTGCTGGGCAGAAGTGCCGTGTCCCTGGCTCCGTCCCTAGTCCCGTCTCCCCGGAAGTTGGGGTCTGGTGTGCTCTCTGCTCCTCCTTGCAACTGTGCCCAGGCATGGTGGGGTGCATTCCTCAGCACAGAGGCTGGGGTGCAGGTCTGGCTGTGCCTCCTGACCTAGTGATCCCTTTGCCCCCGACTCCGCACTGTCTGTGGGTGTTGTCCCCCGGAGGGGCCAGCCCTCAGTTGGACTTGTCTGGGATGGACCCGGGGTGTTACCAGGAGGGCCATGAGGCCACTCTGCAGGCTGATACACCCCTCCCCCTGCTCCACCCACTTCCAGGATTATTATGGGATCCCCTTTGCGACACCTGCGGCCCTTGCCAGCCGAGACGGGAGCCTTGCTAATAACCCTTATTCAGGTTAGCGGGTTTCTCTGGGCCAAGGAGTGGGGGGCACAGGGCCTGGGGGGGGGGGGGGGCAAGAGGGAGGTTGTGTGTCCGGAGCAGCCCTGGCAAGGCTGCGGATGGACTCTCAGCACTCCTCCCCTTCTCCTAGGTGATGTCGCCAAGTTTGGCCGAGGCGATTCTGCGTCCCCCGCGCCCCCCACCACCCTGGCCCAGCCTCAGCAGAGCCCCTCCCAGGCCCACCACACGGCCCAGCAGCCCTTCCTGAGCCCCGCGCTGCCGCCTGGCTACAGCTATGCGGGCCTCCCCTACTACAGCGGTGTGCCCAGCGCCTTCCAGTACGGGCCTACCGTGTTCGTGAGTACTGGCGGCTGGGGTTGCAGGGAGCAGGGAGCAGGGGCGGGGGGCTGCTCTGGCTCCCTTGGAGCAGTCGAGGTGCCCTGCTGTGGGTGCAGCAAGAGGTGCTGTTCTGCCATGCCTAACCCCCCACCTACCCCCACCCCCTCACCTGCCTGTCCCTCTGCTTCGCGGCCTCTCATGCTCCGTTCCTCCTCCCCCCCCCCCCCCCCCAGGTCCCTCCGGCCTCGGCCAAGCAGCCTGGTGTGAACCTCGGCACTGCCGCCACCCCCTTCCAGCAGGCCGGCAGCTATGGCCAGCACAGCTACACCACAGGTAAGGGCCGCGCTCCGCGGGGGCGAGCCAGGGCGGCAGAGGCTCGGCCGCTCACACCTGCACTTGCCACGCTAGGCTATGACGACCTGACCCAGGGGACAGCAGCCGGAGATTACACCAAGGGCGGCTACGGGGGCTCGTCGCAGCCACAGAACAAGTCTGCGGGCTCCGGGCCGGGCAAAGGTAGCATTTCTCCCTGACTGACTCCGCACGCGCCCATGCACCCTGCTGGTGGGGGCTGCCTGGGGCAAGGGTCCGGGGTTGCAGGGATAACTCCCTCCCCCCCTCTCCCCCACCCCCAGGTGGGTCCGTGTCTTCAAGCACCTCTGGCCTGCCAGATATGGCTGGTTCCGTGTACAGTAAGACTCAGGTAAGGAGCGGCGGGGCTGTGGAGGGAGGGGACCCGGGGCAGCCAGGCCCTCACTCTGCTCCCTCTGTCCTGCAGACTTTCGACAAACAGGGCTTTCACGCAGGGACCCCTCCACCGTTCAGCCTACCCTCCGCTCTGGGCTCTCCAGGGCCCCTGGCTCCCGGCGCCGCCCCGGGCTACGCCCCACCACCGTTCTTGCACATCCTGCCCGCACACCAGCAGCCCCACTCACAGCTGTTACACCATCACCTGCCACAGGATGCCCAGGTGAGCCCAGGGCCAGGCCAGCCTTGGGGGGGAGGGGCCTCTCTGCCCGCCCCTGACTGCTTGCTTTCCTCCCCAGAGTGGAACCCCTCAGCGCAGCCAGCCCAGCTCCCTGCAGCCAAAGTCGCAAGCCTCTAAGCCCGCCTACGGCAACTCTCCATACTGGACAAACTGAACCCGAAGAGTGGGGTGGGCTAGGGCGAGCCCACCCTGGGCAGGAGAAAACACTTGGAGCCCTTTTCTGGGAGCCCAGCCCCCCCTCCTAGATTCCTGAGACATGTAACTGTGTCAGCCGAGCCTCTGTGGAGAGCCTGCCTCCCAGACTCGCTCTTGTATGTAATGTATTTATGTATGTATTTGTAAATGTGATAGAGGTCTCGGGGGAGTGGGAACGCGGCCGCCACTCTGGCGTCTGCTGTCCCCACTTGGGCCCCTTGCGCTGTAGCAGAATCAGCCCCTTCCCTCCCGCCTTCGGCCTTCCACAGAGCCCTGTGCCCGCAGGCTGCCCGGGCAGAGTCTGGAAGGACTGGTCAGGGGAGTGGGGGGTGGGGGCCAGGTACCAATGAAGAATCACGACTTATCTCACCTTCCTTGTAACCATTATTTGCGTTTTCCTCCCTGTGTAATTCCTTTATCCCTCTCTTTTGGAGAAACTGGTCCTTTTGTCATTTGGTGTTTCTCTCCCACCGAATCTTGATCTGGGAATAGCAGAGATCTCTGTCCCAACACAACCGGCACCTGTTTGTCTTCATAGGTAGCAGGGACTTCCACACCTGGTCTTGTCCCGAGACTTGCCTTCCTCTGGTTGACCATTTTAAAAATAATCTGAACTCGTGCTCAGAGAGGTCCAGCCAGTCCAGCTTTTTTAAAAAAAGGAAAAAAAAAATCAAAGCTCTGCTTTCACTCAGTGAGGGCACATCTCCAAGGCTCCTCTATTCCACTGTCCTGACGCAGCTGGGCGACTGTTTCAGGAGTTTTCTCATTTGCCCAGACTCCACCTAATAAAGTTCTGAGAGCATGTCCGGTGTCTGTGTGGTTTGGCTACAGAACACAACTCTGGACAAAGGTGGCCGTCTTCACGATGCTTCTGAGCACCCTGCAATCTCCCTGCAATGGTCTGTGAGGGCTTCATAAGCCTTTATGAAGACACTTCTCTGGTATCCAGATGTGAAAAAGGTCAATAATACTGGTGACCTGATAGGGTATAAGCTGCGTCTATCAGAGCTAACGTTGTTTCTTCTGGCAGCCCTGTTAAGATTTCTTGTAGGGGGTGGGAGGCGTTGGGATCTTTCAGGTTCCTTGTCACCAGGGCTTATCAAAGAAACTACAAAGAAGCAAGAGGCTGGAGAAGGAATCAACTCTGATTCCTTCTGAAACATGATTGGTCGATACCAACCCAGCATGGTATCGACAGCCAAGGGCCTGCTGGAGTCATTTGCTCCAGAACCGTTGTCCCAGGGAACTGCCTTGACAGCCTGGACACCCTGTTTCAATCCCGCTCCTCTGTGCTCTGTGGCAGGGAGTATGGTGTGTCCAGCAGAAGGCAGCTCAGGGCTAGAGGAGTTGCCTAAAGGACCACGTAAGATAAGCGAGTGGTGCCCGTATTGGCCCAGGGCCACAGCTCTCAGCTTTTCTGCTTCTGGCCTCTCAAGTTAAGAGGCTTCATCAGATAGTTATTGATCTGGGGCTTAGGATCCTCACTAGGGAAAAATGTAACTATCAAACAGCACAAATGGAACCAAACACGTGGCCTAAAGAGGGGAGTAGAAGCACCCATCTGTCCCTTCATGCAACTATAGTGCCTGCCGATTGTGCCCTATCTATTACAGTTGTTAGCAATCTTAGGAAAAAGGATTAGGAAAAAGGATTAGTGATGTTCGAGGGAGTTAGATGTCTTAAAAAGGTAAGTCAGCAGGACTTTCTGCATTTTATTTTTTCTCAGCACAGTCCCATGGCATTAATGTGTGAGGAACAGCAGAGATACTGAGACTGAAACCTTTTAACACAAGGGGAGGAAAAAAAGGGTCGTCCCATGGGGAAGTAGCAATACAGGTATATTTTATTTCACATTTTATTAGTAGACATATGGGCAGAAAAAGACAAAATAAACCACTAAAGGGGAAGTCAACACAAAATGCATCATCTTATAAGTTAAACTGAAGAAAACATCTCTAATTTTAGCTAAGAAAACTATTAAAAGTCAGGTATATCCTGCTGGTTTCGGAATAGTTGAAAATTGCATCTGAAACTTTTTTGTAAATGTAAACCTTGTTTATCAGGATGGGAGGCATGGAGCGTTAATTTCAGTGGAGAACGGCGTGTTTTCCCCTTCAACTTCTACTGTAGTATGTCCCAAACATAGGAAACCAGCAAATAATTACCAGGGAAGAAGAAAGAAGGGCCGATAAAAATGTTTCTCTAATGGAAAAGAACTCTGGAATGAGAGAGAAAAAGAGGGGGGGAAGACTTCGAGAAAGCAACAAGGGAATCATGATATACTTTCTCCACCCAACCTCAAAATAAGCACACCTGAAGATCTTCCAGAGACTCCATTAGAATCGAAAGGAACCTAAAAATAGAGGGTTTTGAGTTCATGTTACACCAAATAATTAGCACAAGTATACTCACAAGGTTCTGGCCTGAGCCCTCCACTTCTAAGAAGAAAAGCAACGACATACTCAAGTTTTGCCACGGTGTTCTCAGGGACAGAGCTCTGGAACCGGCATCTGGGTTTTGTAAGTGAGCTATAATATGCCTACCTGCTAGCAAATCAACACTCCCCAGTCCTTTCTGGATCTGACTGGACTGTACCATTGGCAAGCTCAGCCCGCAACAGCAACCCCCCGAAGGAGGAGCGGCATCCCCTCTACCTGGCTCTCTGGCTCCCTGAGTCAACACGCAACAGAGGCCAGCAGGGCCCGTGGGACAGAGCTGAGCAGCATAGCACCTCCCATCATGCCAAGAGGCCTGGCCTGCCCTGCCCTGGGGGAGAAATGCTCTAGCATTAAGGGGGAAAAGATTTAGATTGAGGGTTCCAACCTACTGGCTGTAAACGTTGGGATGGGGTCATCAAAGCACTACAAGACACTTGGGTCTCCCAAAGAGCTGCAGGTTATCTGGGAGTATTGAGAAACCTGGAGTTTCAATCTCTTGAGGAGTCTGCCCGTCAGACTTGTTTCTAGAGTTCAGGAAATCTGACAGGACTCACTCCATACAAACAGCCCTGATCCCATGGGGACGCGACAGAGATTCAGAGACCAGGTCCAACACTGTCCCATGCGAATCGCGGTGTGTTCAAACATTCCCACTAACACTAGACCAGACTTGAGAGGCCAGGGAGGGTTGCTGGGAATTAGTCAGCTTGTTTGGAGAGCTTGGAAAAGCGAATGAAAACCCTGAGATCAGAAAGGAAGGCGGAACAAGGAAGTCACTGCTCTATTCGAGGGTCTAGCCTGCCCTGTTCCCAATCAACTCTCCAGTTCGAGTTCAAACCAGCGCACACGGATGTGGGATTGAAACCAGTGAAGTAGGATTGCAGTCAATCTCTGCTGTATTTTCCTTCTGAAGTCCATGATTTTTGCACTAGTGTCTCCACTGAAAGGACTCTACCCTCCTAGGAACTGGCATTCTGTAGTCCCTGGTTTGTGAAGGCTGAAGAAACATGATTGAAATGGGGGAGATGAAGCTGCACCAAACGCATAGCAAGGAAGATCTAGCACTGCCCAGATACCGCCCAGAGTAAATTCCTCAGTCCTGCCAGAAAAATCAGAGCAACCCAGGGAAAGCGCCACGCACACCTTCTGCTTCCACTCGAGAGTACACTGGAAAGAAAGAAAAATGTCCAAGTCACATCCAGTGAGGAACTGGCCATTCATGACTTGCAACCAAAGTTACCGTATATAAGCAGCTCAACGAGACCCAAGATCTCAACACATGCACCTAGCATTAATGCTCATTAAAACTGGCTACTTAACAAAATCCTCATGGTGAAAAGCATCTCTTTGAGGGGGAAAGGCCATGTCAAGTATATAAAATAGATGTTTCTCTTCCAACAGTGGTCACCAGTAATTTTGACTTTTGACTCCCCCAGCAGCATCAACCAAAATTACAATAGTGATTAAAAAAAATTGCTCCCATCACTGAACTTCCACACACACACATAAATTCCCCACTCTCCCCACTGTAGGGGGTGGGGTTGGTGGGGAGGGAGATATATAGCTCTCTCTTTAAAATAAATAGCAATCAAGTGCTCAGTTCTATGTAAAGTATGAATATTTATTCAGGCTTTAGATCCCAATTGATTTCAAAAAACAAAATCTGATTAGTCTCAGAGGAACAGGCCTCCAAGTTAGGGTGAATCCTGGAAGCTGAAGGGGTTCTGTGCATTTAGGAACGTATTTCATCAGGCGTAGCACAAAGTCCCTGATGCCCACTATACCCCAGCCTTAAGAAGGGAAAGAAACAAAATTCACCACCATAGGGCTGAACACACTAATGTTAATGAGCAGCTAAACCTTGGCCAAAAAAAAAATTTTTTTTTGTTTTATGGAGGTTTTCTGGATTTTTTTTTCCATTTTATTTTGCTACCCAGAATTTGCAGCACTTGTGAACTTTCAAGGGGTTCCCAGCCTTACATACATTGAACATCTTGATGAAAGACTATTTAATTCTTCCAGAATCTAAAAACAGGCCAAACGTGTTTTGCTGTGAACACTTTGTAGAGATGAAGTGAGGCGCAAGTTTGAGTTTAAAGAAGAAGAAGAAAAAAAAAATCAATACAGTGATGGAAGGGTAAAGAATGCGAGAATTCAGACATTCTGTGGAGGATGCTTTCTCTCCAGTAAGAGGTCCATGAAAAGGAGCAAACTGAGATCCATAAGGGAGTCAGCAGGAGCCGTGTTTGTTTTCCCCACCCCCTGCGATAGGTTTCTGCTGCGGGGCCACTGCTCGGTCCCCTCTTGCTCCCCTCCCGTTGGCCTGAGATGGCAGGGCAGTGCGGGGGCCTTGCCCGAGCACGTCACGACTCCTCATTCCCAGAATCGTCGTCATCGTAACAGTCGGCATCTTCCTCCTCCTCATCTTCGTCATCAATGTCGTCGTCATACAAGTCGTCATAAAGCAAATCTGAACTGTTGTCATTGGAAGGCACTTTAGTTTTGATGCAGTATTCTGCCAGGGTCGTGGGGACCTTCACTCCATCCTTTTCTGCTTCGGCTTTAGTGGCTGAAACCTGTTTTCTGAAGGAAGGAAAGCTGAAGTAAGTTTCTGTTCAGAACTGCTTCTGGTTTCCAGGCCTGCTGGAAAACACCGAATAGATTCCCTTTACTATGTATGCCAAAGGTTCTCACACCATCGGCACCAGTCTGAAGGATACAACTGATCTTTTGAAGGGAGTGTGAAGGAATGGATCTCAAATGCGGCTATGTCCGGAAATCCCCTTTGTCTGTCTCCCCCCACCCCCGCTTAGTTGTCTCACCACCGAACTCATAATAAAAAGCCCAACAATTATTTAATAACCCTACCTACACATTTTAAGATCCAAATACATTTTTGGACACCAATTTTTTTTTTTTTTGCTTTTTTGGGTCACACCCGGCGATGCACAGGGGTTACTCCTGGCTCTGCACTCAGGAATCACCCCGGCGGTGCTCAGGGGACCATATGGGATGCTGGGATTCAAACCTGGGTTGGCCGCGTGCAAGGCAAACGCCCTACCTGCTGTGCTATTGCTCCGGCCCCCAAGGGACACCAATATTTTGTACGACTCACTTTTCATTCTCCAATTGGCTGAAAGTAATTCAGCCAATTACTCTGTGAACACCCCCCCACCCCCAGTTCAGGCCACTCTGGTGATCTGAATATGATCAATGCCATCCTCCCCACCTATATGACAGGTGGGTACCTGTCACTCAGCTCTGAGTTTATTCTGACAACCCAATTTAAGGCCATCTCCTTGTCATCACACTGTCCTACTTCCTCACTCTGATTTTCGTCTGTTCATTTTTCTGTTACGTCCCCTCTCATTCCCAAATGGGAATTCTAGAGCAGAGAACTTGTCTCTTGGTCACATCTACTTCTCCAATGCCTGGAACAGTCTTGCATATATAGAACTGTGAACACCAAGTCGCCACCATTCTGATGCTCCTCACGCCTGCCTCGAATCAGACATTCCCCTCTCACTCTTCCTGACTTGCTTGCCAGGCCTGCTGTTTCCGAGGAGTTCAGGAGCCTGGCTGGCTTCTCACTCAGCATTCCCCATGGGTCATCTTTCCATTCCTCAGGGTTCTTTCCTAAGCATGGCTCTCAAATCATCAGCCCATGAACTCTAGACCTTTACTGAAGCCATTTTGCTGTTCCCATGCCCATGTTCAACAAGAACCCTCAAACTCGGCAAATCTGCACTTGCCATTAAGCTTTGCCCATTTATCTTCTAGGTGTCACCAGTTCCCTAAAAATTATAAATCTCACACCAAAGTCTACCCATTGTCAAAGCTGTTTCTTCATTCTACTTCAGCTGAGTCTTCATGTCGCAGCACCAATGTTTCTGTGAATACTCAAACATGATGTTTACTTTCCTAAAAGTCATCTGAGGCATGCGGGTGGCTGTTGGATGCCCCACAAATGCAGGCCCCACTAAGTGCTCTCTACCACTGACCTGCACCTCCAGCCCTCCTTTCCAAAATCCTTCTGAAAATCCCACCACCTCCACGATTAAGGACCAAGTGCTTGTTAGTACCATCAGTGTCTTTCAGGACATCCTAACCCCTCTTAGATTACCATTATTTTATCAACCAGAATTTATATCCAGGTAATATAATGAAGCTACTTACAATTCTCTTGACATGCATGCTTGTTATCCCTTAAGGTTTTTTTCCTTCCCACTTTACCTGAAAAAAGGGCAGCATCTCTCCTGGGAATCCAAGTATTACATATTCCTCCCACTATATCTTATTTCTGCTTCTGTAGTTACACTCACAATACCAGATGGTTGGTCAGTTGTTTACAAAAGCTTGCTAAGGAGAAAGACTAACTCTTAATGACCTGGCAAAGGACTTGGCAAAGTTGGTGCATAGCAAATATAAACACAAAGACTTAAAGAACGAAATAAAGAAATCCTTAAGAAATATAAACAGTACAAAACTTTGGAAATATCCATGCGCTCTTCACCTATGAAATCCTACCTGGCCTTGAAGGTCAGGCTGCAATCCTGTTTCTACCTCTCAGCCCTCAGATCACTCCTGACCTTTAAACTTCTCTTCATACTGAGGTTTTTCCATCTTTTTGGTATATACCAGCTACTTAGGTCGCTGGCAAACACAAAATACAAGTGATCCCTAAATCACCTGTATTTAGACCCTCTTGGAATCTCATACGAATATGGACTAGGGAGGGCCCTCAAGAAGACTCAGTTTAGTGGGCAAGTATTTCAAGAATGTGACCATACAGTATTTAGTTGTCAGGTGACACATGTCCCCTGCACTTTGTTATGTGTTGTTTTATGGACCCTGGCAGTGCCAAAAACTGACTGGGGTTGGTTGGGTGCAAGGAAAGCACCTTACTGGCACACTATCTCTGTTCTTCTGCACCATTTTGATTTTTTCATATTACAAGGTACCATAAGGATCAGATCTACAGAAAAGTTTTCTATTTGCACGAATTCTAGTACATAATGTGTTGGACCTGTCCTGGGGGCTCTATTTCTGTGGTGTAAAACTGTAATAGCATTAACTGGTATGGAAGTTTTGCAATTTCATAACCAATCTTTAGGCAGCATGATGAACTTTATGTCCTACTACAAGGGATACAATAAATGGCTGAGCCTTTAGTTGCCTTTCACTTTTTCCCTGTTTACGGTGATGAAAAAAACTAAAGTATTGGAAAAACAGTTACAGTACTGAAACTGTAGTTTCGAGATCTCTATTCTAGGGCTCGAACCTTAGATGGTGTGGCTGATGACATCCACAAGATGTTCCCATGGTCAAAAGGCAAAAAAACAACAAGACTTTTCCTCAGAAGACAGAAATTCTTGGAATGTCTGGAATACCTTGGATATTTGTAACTCTTACTGGACATGTTAAAGTCCAAGCCAAGGTCCCTAGAATGACAAGGGAACATTTGTAAACATGACTAACTCAAAACCTGGAAATTCTGGTTCTCAGAAAACAGATCTGCTGCAACACTGTTTTCTACTGCGCTCTTTCTCAGAGTCAAGCCCACGGGCTCAGGCAGAGTATCTATCTCCTCCAACATCATAAATCTCAGTAAAAGAGGTGAAGATCTGGGGCTGAGCAATGTTACAGTGTATTTGCCTTGCAAGCAGCCAACCTGGGTTTGACCCCCGGCATTCCATATGGTCCCCTGAGCACTGCCAGGAGAAATTCCTGAGTGTAGAAACAGGAATAACCTTTGAGCATTGCTGGGTGTGACCCAAAAAAGAAAAAAGAGAAGTGAAGATTTGAGTATGGTTCTAGAACAGAGGTTTGCATGCTTATTTTGGTTTTATTCTTTTGTTTCTGTTTTTGAACCAAATGAGCTGTGCTCAGGCCTTACTTTTAGCGCTGCTTGGGAAGTGTGTGTGTGTGTGGTACTAAGACCAAAGCAAGTGTCTTACCAGCTATACCATCTCTCTGCTAGGGTTCTCAACCTTCGTACACCTGCCACTAGCACCGGTCTGCGGGCCTATGGTTGAAAGCCACTGTTCTAGAACGTATTTTGGTTCTGTAAGAAGTAAAGACATAGAAGACAAAACGAATAACCTTACCGAATGATTTCAGCATACTCTTTGTCTTTTCCTTTACTGTCCCTCCATTTCCTGAACATAACTGAAGCATCCACATTGGCTGGGGAGAAGGTGTTGGGTTCATTAAGCAACGAGATCACACTTAACAGGATAGTCCTAGAAGCAGGGAAAAAAAGGTGATTTATGAACACTCATATTCCCAAGATTTGAAGTATTACACTTTCTTATATTTTATTTTGGGGCCCACTCCCACTGGGCCCAGAAGAGCCACATCTTCTGGGGGGGCTGTGAGGGGAGTTTCAATCAGTGCTAGGGGGTTAAATGCAGGGCTTCGAATATACAAGGCAGGTGCTCTAACCCTTGAGCCACATTCATGTCTCCACGTTACGTTTTTTTTTGGGGGGGTCACACCCGGCAATGCACAGGGGCTACTCCTGGCTCATGCACTCAGGAATTACGCCTGGCGGTGCTCAGGGGACCATAAGAGATGCTGGGAATCGAACCCAGATCGGCAGCGTGCAAGGTAAACGCCCTACTCGCTGTGCTATTGCTCCAGCCGCACGCTTTTAATATTGTCTTTGAGACCTTAGGGGAATGGAAATAGAATATTCTAAAATTCTCTCTCCAGTACCAAGTTGGCTAGGCTAGGAATAAACTAACTAACTCAGAGAGATGAAATGGAAGAAACCTGTGAGTTAATCATCAAAGCCACAGGGAAAGAAAAAGTAACTAAAAAGCATTGTTACAACTTGGCTACATCTTATGATTTAAAAAAAAAAAGAAAGAAAGAAAGAAGTCTGGAAGCTCAAGCAACAGTTTAAAAGTAATTTCAAGTAGCTCATTTTTACAAATTACATGGGCTAGAAAAAGGCAAAAAATATTTAGTAATAAGGCAATCTTTCCATGGGAAAGGTTAAAAATGATGCTAGCCCACACCTCTAGTAACAGCTGGTCAGGTCTGAAAAACATTATACACAAATTATCTCCTTTTCATATGTCCTAAAAGGCGGAATTACTAAACAGGAGAATGGCGGGAAAGCAAGGAGAACTAACGCCTTCGCAAGGAAGAATGAGTCTCTAAATAACAGATAGCTTTATTCAAAAACATTTACTAAGCACCTAGTATGTGCCAGTGTTACCAAGAGAGATGCCGGGTTCATTACAAAGAACAATTTATATGCTATTCCTGAATCTCCCAAGGTTCATATGTACGCTAAACATGCAATTTTTATCCAGGGAGAAAAAATAATGATGCTTTAACCAGAGAACAAAATTTCCGTTAAATAATATAACCCAAACCACAACAGGCTCTAAAAATTAGAGGTTCCAAATTATCCCCAGGTTTTCCCCCACTACACATAACACTATATATTAATACACCCTAAGAGGTGTGTGATTGTACAAAAGGAGAAAATCTGGAGTTATATATTGTGCTGCAAAACAGCCTTCTGCTCCTAGCCCTGAGACAAAAATAAAGGGAGGGAACAAAGGAAATGTGATGTTTGATGAAACCTTTTTTTTTAAGGGTAAAGTTTCTGTGTGTGATTACACAAAATTATGGTAAACGTGCTTTCAATTCATTATAGATATACATACACACACGCGCGCGCACACACATACCCTCTTATTTTTAGGTTAGGAATAAAAACTTTTTCATTTACTTTAACTCAGTCTGTTAAAGCAACCGAGGCTGGAAACGTGCTCAGCAGAGAACACCTGCTTCACATGTCTGAGGGTGGGGGTTGAGTTCCAGTGTTAAAAAAGAAAATCCTCATGCCTCTCTCATAACAACCTTTCAGGAAACACCCAGAAAACAGTATTGGCATTACTGAGGTTTGATTCCAGCCCACGTGGCTCCCGGCACAGCCCGCAATGCTCTGAGGCCTCTGCACCGCAGGACCGAGCTCCGACGCGCTCTCAGCTCTCACACTGGACTCCCACCAGGCACAACGAGAATCACCAGGGGTCTGGGGCTGGAGTGATAGCAGGGCACTTGCCTTGCACATGGCCAAACTGGACTTGAGCCCCTCGTGCCCTGAGTCCACCGGGAGTGATCCCTGGGCATTGAGGCAGGAGTAAGCCCTGGGCAGCGCCAGGTGGGGCTTCCCCCTCTATCCTGCACTGCAGGCTCCCTGAGTCTACGTAGACTGAAGCTCTCTCGAACCACCTGCCAAAAATAAGTCCTACTTGCTTCAGTAACACAGATTCTAAGAAACACATCGCACAAATAGACTGACATAAAATACTAGAAGAAAAAAAATGGTAGAAATCCCATAAAGAAAAGCTGCGTCAGGCTGGAGCAATAGGACAGTGGGTAGGGCATTTGCCTTACACGAGGCCAACCTGGGTTCCATCCCCGGCATCCCATATGTTCCCCCGAGCACCACCAGGAGTAATTCCTGAGTGCATGAGCCAGGAGTAACCCCGGAGCATTGGTGGGTGTGACCCAAAAAAAGAAAAAGGGGGAAAAAAACTGCTTGATAACCAGGTAGACAGGACAGCAGTGGGTGACCGGCTTAGATCCCAACGTAGTCCCCCAAGCACTACTGGGGTGACTCCGGTTGGTCCCTGGCATCTGCAGGGTCCTTGCAGAACTCTATTCTCTAAGATGACCAAATATTGCCAGAGTTGTACCTGGTCCCTGAACATGGTTTGGGAAGGTTCCCCCCACCTGCCCCACAAAAAGCAAAAGAAAGTAAGTTGCTTAAGGAGCCAACAAGAAAGCTCAATGTGCTAACGAGCATCAAAGTTCTATGCTCTATCCCTGAGATCACAGGGTTCCCTGGCAGTGGCCTCCAGGGCTGCGTTCAGTAGCACCTGTGGGGGAAGGGGGCACGTACAGCTGTCAGGTTTAAACTCGGGATAGCTGCCTGACAGCTAAATTACCGGCCTGTCCCCATGATTAAAACTCTTTTCTTAATGAAGACTCCACATGAAACTCTTATGTAATACCCTATTCAGTCGTTTCCAGCCTGTACAATATAGATGGGAGACAGGCATAATGCAGATGGATTTCTTCTCAAAGTTGGGTGGGTGGGGTCTAGAGTATTCAGAGTTTATTACACTTGAAAGGATACTGTTAAGATACTGTGACTATTACTTACACCAACACTCAATACTGTCACTCAATCCGCAGCACGGTGAACAACTCTGTAAAGTGTCTTTATATCCTTTTTAGAGGGGAGTTGGGGGCACTGCACTCACAGTGGTGCTCAAGGTTTACTCCTGGCTCTGTGTTCAGGGATCACTTCTGGCAGGCTCAGATGCAAAGGATTCAATCTGGTCGGGCATGTGCAAGGCAAGCGCCCAGCCCACTGTACTATCACTCTGGCCCCTGTAAAGTCACTTTAATAAGATTGTTTTTAGAATGGACCCAACATTGTAGAATGTACTGAACAACTGAAATCTGGAATTAATCTAACAGTTAACCCCCTGGTTTATTTTGCTTCCATCTGTGTTTTTAGTTTTAGTGAATGTTAAAAAAACTGTTAACACTTATTTTATTTTGTTCCCAACAATAAAAAGATAGGATTAACAATAGGTGAAAGAGGGAAAAAAGACTAAATACTAAACTATCGTATTAATTTTTTCTAATTAAAGTTACTAAAGACCACTAAAGTACATTTTAAAAAACTGTTTTCCTCTGCATCACCAAAGGAAAAAGGACCAGGAAGACAAACATGCATCAAGCGCGTGCGCACACGCGCACACACACGTATAATCTTCTATTCATACAAACTGTTCCACATAAAAAGTTTTGCTTTTTTTTGCAGAAACAACGTATTGCATCTGTCCTGGCTCTGCACCCAGAATCTTATGAAACCTAAACTTAAATTTCTAGGATTAAATAGCGTGAGGCTCCATCCTATTTACCATATATAATTTGACTTCTCTGGTCTAAGTCTGCATGAATAAATCTGGTCGTTCAGATCCAGCCGCCCAATTGTACTGTCTACTAGAATAAAGAAGAGACCTAATTCTTTGAAATAAAAAATGAGGAACAAGGAGTTATTAAGTCTTAAGTTTATTCTACTCCCAGAATTATAGAGACACCTAGAAATAAATGTACTTCTCTCACCCACAGTAAGTGAAGACAAGGAACAAAGGTGAAGTTTTCAGAACAGAGGACTGGGGCCAGAAAAATGCTGAGAAGAAAATACAGACAAAAAGAATCCATTTTACATTGTTTTTTCTTGAGCTCATTATTTGAGATCCTTTTCCTTGCTTTAGAATCTTTGTTAAAGATGGTTTGGTGATCTCCTTTTTTATAAAAAATGAAATCTGGCAAATGATAGTAAATTCTGAAGTTGTATAGTGTTCACTCTATATGTTGAAGGTCAGGTGGAAGGGGTGGAGAAACAAAAACTAAAAAAAAAAAAACATTTAAGAGAGAAAACAGAGGGGCTGCAACAATAGCACAGCAGGTAGGGCGTTTGTCTTGCACGAGGCCAACCCGGGTTCGATTCCCAGCATCCCATATGGTTCCCTGAGCACCGCCAGGGGTAATTCCTGACTGCAGAGCCGGGAGTAACCCCTGAGCATCGCCAGGTATGACCCAAAAGAGCAAAAAAAAAAAAAAAAAAAAGAGAGAGAGAGAGATAAAGAGAAAATAGAATATGACTCCAAAGAGTGAAATGTATTTGTTCTTTTAACCATACAGACAATTTGTCAACAAGATGGATCAGCCATACTATGTCACCAAAAGTAAAACTTTACCAGAGAAACAGAAAAGTGACTTTGGTACATTATAAAGAGGCACGTAGGTGCCCCTCCCACTGGGAAAGCTGTGAATTTACAAGATGGATATTGGCATTTTTCACAGGGGAGGTGGTGATTGAGTGGAATGATTTGGATTCCGTAGGCCTAAAATAATTCAACTGAACTATTATCCTTCATACTATCCCTACCAGCGCTACTGGCTCTGGGTTTCTACCCAACCTTGTCGCTGATGTAGACTGTTCACAAGATGATCACAGAAGACCTGTCAGTCAAGACCCAGACCTCAGTACATGTTTTCATTTGGGAGAAATTAAAGAGGATATTATGTCCCCCAAAACCTGTTATGATTAAGAAATGTGGTAGCTTCATGGGATATGTATTACAATTAGATTCTCTTGATGCTGGTCAAGCAGCTAACAATTTCTGTGGCAATCCTA